GTGAGAACTATTTGTACAATTATCTCTAAGCAGGCAAGTCTTAAAAAATTACATAATGATCTATGAAAAATTACTTTTACTTGAATTACAAAATCTGGCCATGATTGAGAAAATGTCGATTGGTCGGGTTCAACCAGAACTGTAGGTTCACCAGATGACATTAGCAAGCAAACATGGAAAACATACTATATAAAAAGGATATGTATGTAATGTCCACATCTTTACTAATGAAACTGGTTTAAGATGTTAAAACGTAGTTTCTCAGACAAACTGATAAGTTAAACTGATGAAATAGTTGTATTATATCTAAACGTGGTTTAAATTTATTCATTCATCAAAAACCACGAAACGTGATCCCTCCACCGAACTGGCTTTCACTGCTATGAAAGCAATCCTAGTATTTTTATTATCTAGTTAAAACATCATTTCTTTATCCAAACCCATCTGATAATATGGATATCCTACTCAACAGTCAATCATTGACTGAAACCGGAACATCCTAAGTTTAACCTCATCCATTCAATCGGAAACGTTTAATATTTTCAGATTAATCGCCGGATGTCCATAATTCAACAGTAAACAATTTTGAATTCGTCATCGCATTCGCAATACGACTTTACTATCTGTGGATAGAGAAGACTTGTTTGTTTGGACCAATGCGGTCTATGCATCCTCCCCACCCTTTAACGCAACCACAGCAATGTTATTTATACAGGCAGAGCAAAGTGTTTGTAGTCATAAGGTGTGTGGTAAATGTAGAGCGATTTATATTTACTGTAGTTACTGTATTTGTAGGCAAAGTCGTCATGGAGAACGGCATTTGTACAGATCAGGTAAGTAAAAGAGAGTTGCACCAAGTATTTAATCATCTAAAACCGTTTGAAAATAGATAGTTTTTAAATTAATTGTACCAATTTTTAGTAAAACAATTGCTCATGAAACCAAAGAGAGATACGTAATCTTTCTCTCGATAAAATTTAAAAAAATTTATTTTGGATCTTATTTTCTGGTACCTTTAACGTTTGTTTAGTCATTTTTTGATTAATTAAAACTATTTATTTACATTTAAAACTCCATACAATCAAGCAATAGTGAGTAAGTGGCTTTCAAACCAATCATAACCAGACATAGCTATCCTTGATCATCGGTCTGCAAAAAAAAGATAAAAACAAAAATAATAATAATAATATTTGATTCGACGCACCCTTTAATGTATCTGCGTCAAATATATTTTCGTAAAAATGTATTATTGGTATAGTAGTTTTCATTACTAGTCTCGAAAGTTACTTATTTCAGGGAGAGATTGCAATCAGCCCCACAATGGCACTTTTGAGACGAGTATTGAACATTATTTTTCATTACGATATCAAAAAACTTGTAAACAACATGAATATTTTTGTTTATTCAACTTAGTATAAAATAATGAACTCATAACACTGAGTTTCCGTGCTTATGTCAAGGTAAGTACAAACCTACAAAAAATGCAACAGCTGATCGGTCTGCAACGCAAAATCCCATAACCACAAATGCACAGAGAGTTAACGTGATGTAAAAAAATTGTCCGTGCAGTAGCGGGGATAACATGTTTTCTTAGCTCATTTAATGTTTAGAAAGTGTACTTTCGTCTGTAGAGTTATGAAAATTATTTTTCATCATATTGTCTGGGAAGCGCCCGTTATTATTTCTCAAATTCCGCAAATTGGTCGTTTTCGGGAAACTTCAAATAGGGAACAGAAAAAACATATGGTAGTTTTTTAGGCTCGCTAACCTCAAAAATGTTATCAGTGCATTATGGAAAAGCTGCTAATCACACGATATTTAAAGTTATGTTTGTAAACAACAGGAACGTAAACATCGATTACGATTTTGTATAACTTTAAATTATGTGGTCTAAATATTTTGTAACGATTAGAAGGTTATTTCCACAATATGATGAAAAAAATCGTTCATCACACGGAGCAGTACTTCGTATTTCCAAGCTAAGCACACGATTGCGTAAAAAAGGTCCACTTTCACTCCAAGAGATGAAAACTACTATTTTCTTTCAATGCTCAAAAGGTTTAACTACGAGTACAAATTTATGGAAAAACTCGTCAACACTCTTTAATTCATTGATTGAAACGTCTACTGTTCGAAAGAAATTTCAAAGGGTACAACAACGCTAAGAATAGGCTACTTTTTACTGTATCATCGTAAATTTTATACAACTACACCAATTGTGGTAAATATGTACTTGATGAGATCTGTTTGATAATTCTCAAGAATCGATTGATGATAATTGAAAAGGTGCGAATATGAATGCATATGCTGTCCTATGTACCTGTTCTCTTGCAAACGTTATGCGTCTAAATTGGCATAAAAAGTTACAAATACTTAGTGACAAGTTACTCTGTTGCCTCAGTCTTTATCATAGCAGATTCAAACATTGGTAACGTTTCAGTATACGGTCAGAAACTAAATCCTAAAAAAAATATGTAGATCGTGTTCTAACACATTTAGCTAAATTACAGTTTCATCACAGGTTTATTGAAAAATAGGTCTAACCTATGTTTAAATAGAATAAGACGTTTAAACATCCCATCAACTACCTACAAGAAAATATTATAAACAGATTTCTGTAACCCGTTGAGGCTATTTCATTGATATTTGAGAACGCATAATCAATGGTGTTACTTCAAAGGAGTTATCAGTCGTTGAAACAATCTACTCTATTTTCTCACAACGAGTCGGACTGTTTCTGTAAGCACTTTAAAATCGATTACTGTTCCAATAGATGTAATGTTCTGAACAAACAGTCCTCTATTATCTGATCTGTGTAACACAACTCTGTAGTACTACCAGTGACTAGTCACATAGGCATAATGGCCACTACAGGCACAAATGGCTATCTCTACAACAAAGTAAGTAGAAACTTTGATCCAAGTTTTAAAACAATTTTTGGAATCGTGTAATACATACTTTATATTTACGTCGTTATTCTGTCTTTACAGCTTGATTTTAGCCAAATGTGTGCAATTTTTTCAAGACGTCATCGTCAGCAGGTATACGGCAGTAAAGTCATGACGTAATCGGTCAAATAACTCCCTGGTGTAACCTATGTAGCTTATAAACCTGCTGACAATTATATGACATCGAAATATTTACAAATTCAATTAAATCTAAGCTGTACTGTGGAATATTTGTAATAATGTAGTGTTAGATTAAGTGTAAACTGAAATATAAAATTAGATTATATCTTTATCATTTAGCTTTGATTTTAATTTTCAATTTGTTGTTGCATTTATCCTGCTGTTGTTAACTATTTCATTGTTTTATATGGTTTGGTGACTTATTCTTTTTGTCTATCCTTAAACAGAATGTATTATGAATAAATAAATAAACACGATAAGATGAATAATTGCCTTTTGAGTTTGGTTTATGTACAAATTTCTCATTTTTACTAATTACAAAATGCATAGATTGTATACACAAAATGTTTAAGTGTTCACAGTTTAGGCTATTGTAAATTTATGTTTATTTAAGGAATGTATGCCAAATTTATATCACTCAGTGTGGGTTAATGGGGTGCAAAAAAATTTTTATTGTTTTCGAATTTTAAAATATAAAATAGTTGGTCTATTATCAAAACCCTGCTTGCCAAGTCACTGAATTAAATTCCTCAATTATTTTGGTATGGGTTAGATTTTGTATAATAAGATTTTCATGACAATGTGATTAGTTGTCCTATCCCAAAATAAATTTACACTAATGTTTTACAAAATTGTTTAACATTGTTTGACAAAGGCATTTTGGAAATTTATTAAAATTTCGAGAAAATTCTATTTAGAATTAAGAATTAAAAAAAAAACTAAGAATTCAAATTACCTCCAACAGTTTTAGTAACTGCATATACATAAAGCTAATTAGATTTACTGGAACAAATCGTCCAAGAACACAAAAATAAATCATGTAATTTTAACTTTTCAATATAAAAACATCGCTATTGAAAACGAATCATTAGTTTATATAGGGACAGCTATGACGTAATTACTGTGACGTTTCAGCAACAACAATATCTAAATAACATTTCTGGTTCACTTGGTAAATAATAATATTATCGCCACAGGAATGCAAACACGTTTATCTAGGAACATAGGAAGTAAACATCTAAACTTTTGTATTTGATGTTATCTTTATATGTTTGTATTCGATAAAACGTAAATTTGAACTGACGGGTCAAATATACTCTGATAAATTGATCTATATCCATTTATAATCCCTATGACGCTGTTTTGCAGAAAAATTATTCATGGTTTGATAAAAGTCATATTAAATCGTAAAGCAAAGTGTTACTGTAGTTTCTTGAGTGCAGCTTTGGTTTAAAACACATGCTGTACACTTCTGTGTAATCGCTTTAAATATTGACGTCGAACTCAAAACGTAAACAACAATAGAGTGACAGCTGATTCACGAACATGTACAGCCAGCGTTGCAAAGTTGTATATTCCAATTCTTGTGCTTTACCGGCACACCTCTTATTTTTTTATATGTTCCAAGTAAAACCCTACGCTCATGTGACGAGGGACTGTAAAAGAAGCCTTAAAACAAAAATTGACACTTAAGTAAAATCTGTATCCATCTGTATCCTCCACAAACTTGCACCTCGAAGCCACACTACACTAGCTACACTAGTCCGCGGGAATCTTTCCAACTAAAACAGTTATGAACCGCAAAATCACATAACATGTATTTTACATCAAAATACCATTTCGTCGACATTGTCCTCGGGTCCTTTGACGTCCAAGCAATCATCCATTGTTACCAGCAAAGTTGTTTACAATTAGGAAGCGCGAACTTAGTCGTTGCCCTTCAAGTCTCAACGTCTTGCCCTGGAGGAAATGTCTGTATAATTGTTGCCTGTGGCTGATGCAATGTCTGGACTGTGTTGCCCAGAAGTGAGCTACAGGCAAAAACTTGTTCTGCTACAATAGCGTAGCGCGCTCAGGGCGCATAAAACCGCGCGCGCCAGTCGAACAGCTGATTGTAGGATTGTGACAGCTGATTGCTAGATAGTGTAGTAGCTTGTAGTGGCAGTGAGATGGGCCCGCAGGCGATTAAGAATGGAATGGAGGACGATGTAAGTAAACAAATACGTTAGGTGATTCAAACTGTGTAGTTGTAACATAATAGTGATTTTAAAAATTCTATAATATTTTTAAATACAAATATGGGAGAGTTCTGAATCCTTATTTTTATTTTGAATCGGATAAATTTATACTGTTATAATTTTAAATAAATAAAGTAGAGATTTGTGTCAGAAATGTTCACATATTTGTACATAAAATTAAGCAACAGGATGATAACTATTAATTACATTGATCACCAGGAGGGGAGTCTGGGGGGGGGGGTCCTCCCCAAAAATATTTTATATTTTTAAAGCTGTTTGGTGACTTTTTAAAGCCATTTTTAAACTTTTGGTGTTAAAATATTAAGGATACTTTCCCACTTCTACATGTTTAAATATCCTGTAGTTTAACACCAGTGGCAGTCCAATGGGGTGGGGGGGGGGCTATAGGAGCCCCCCATTGGACCTAATAAATATACATTTAACTATACATTTTGTCATAAAAACGTAACAGAAGTTTTTTGACACAGCTCTAGACATTAACTCTATATGAAACAAGAAGAAATTAAAATTCTGTTAAATATATCAACTGAAAACCTCCTTGGGTAGTTTTAGTATCTAAAATATATAATAACCTACATTGCATAAACTATATTAAAATTAAAGTCTCTTGCAAGATTTAGAATTATTACGATATGTACTTAATTGAAAGTTATTTCCTAGAATTAGAATGGTAGTTTCTAAGAAGTAATTTGGGTAAATTAGTTTGACTAAAAACCAAAAGTATGAGCATGTTTTGGTATTTAAAATATGTTTAAACATTTGCTGTGAATGGGGTTAATTTCATACAGTATAAAAAAGTGTATTCCTTATTTGGGAAACACGCTAAAACACAGAAGTCACGGGATTTGTGGCTGTGTATTTATTATGACATAGCGCTGTTCTTATGATAATTTGACAAGGAATAAATGCACCTGACTAATAAGTATTTTTTTTTAAGTACGGTAACTGGATAGTAAATACTCATACATATAAAAAACTACGGACATAATTCAGAACAGAGCTACTTAAAGTAACTTATTACCTACCAATTTTACACTCATTTTCTTTCCACATTTAAACATTAGCACTTACAAACATTAAATAAAGGTCATAGATCTAAACAGGGATTTCAGAAAGTATAACAAGTGTTTTCAAAGTATTTTAAACAAATTATTAATCATATTTTGTATTACTATATTTTTTTAAAGATTACTATTGGAAATTTACAATAAAAATACAATTAATATAACTAAAACTATTGTGGAGAATTTATTTTGATGAATTTGTAGGTAAAGCGTAATATGTTTACAGTTTTCTTGCCAAATGTGCTATTTAATTAAAGGACGATATTCAGCTTTCAGGAATCAACTTTAAGCAGGGAAGAGATTTTAAAAACATCCAGTCAAATTTCACTGGCCAATTTTAAACACCCTTGGAAGATTGTTATTTATCAAACTGGTTTTGAAGGTTTATATTTTGTTTTCAACAGTTGGACCTATTTCCTAACTTTTGATTGGTAAATCAATCTTCTACATCAATCAATAGCCAACACCACCATAACCCTGACACAGTTTAAATGTTATTCCTTTGGTATGTAATTTATTTACATGGCCTAGTCTTAAGAGCTATAAGGAAAACAGTCGCCATAACATCCTTCAAGACAGAAATCTGACTTATTTTTGAAGACAACAATTATTACATGTTTCTTCATAATAATGTCTCAAATCAGTATAATTACAAGTTTTGTAAAACCTTTTCCTCAGTAAATTTTAGGTAGTTTTTAAAAATACAACAATTAATATACTCATTTACCAATAGTACTACCATGTCTATAAAATAACCAAATACTCATGATACCAATAATTTCTACCAATAATAGTGCTTCAGGTATTTCGCAAATCCTTTTTTATTTGAAACCAAATTTTGATGTCTGGAAAGAAACCACACTCAACCTCAATTTGTATAGCAATAATTTTGAGGTTCAAATTTTAGTTTGGCAGCATTTTAGCATAGTTTAAACTGAGGAATGAGATCCATTGGCTTGGGCTCAAATTCTTTGTGGCTTTTAGCTCATTTATGGCATTGATATTGCTATGACCCAGAGATTTGCATTGTAATGTCATAATGACAAATCCAGAGGTCACAACATTATAGTAAATTTTCTAAAAATTATTCTTCTTAAAAATGCTTATATGGTCAAGTCGGTTATTTTATAAATTCAGACTCGCCTTTTGAGATGATCGTAACTTTGTTACTGACTAAGATCAACGTTTTCATTAGCCTGGATCATTTATTTAAAGCCCAATGATCAGGAACAGCTGGGTCCAGTTTCGAACCATCAAAAAGCTACTTTTCTCAGGATTGAACCGGCAACCTTTTCATTGTTCTAGGATTGATAGAATATTTTAACCAGTAGTAGTTTTACACACAAAACTAAGAGCTTAAAAGAAAGTCAAAGGAATCAACCGCTTAAAATGTAAAGCTTTTTCGTTACATTAATCATATTATTTTTTGTTTCAGCCTACCTTGATGTCAGGTGGCAACTATATCAAGGAAGGTCTAGATTCAGCCAAGAGTACCTGTCTGTTTTTCAGTCCAGCAAGTCAAGATGAGTGTGGAGTGCTGGCATCGGCTTTGGAACTTTTTAAGGTAAATATATATGAATTAATCAATAGGCCTACCTACTTCTTCTTGTAAAAAACGTTCTGAGAGGTACACAAAGTCGGCAAATGGAACCAAATTTATTGTTCTTTAGAAAGAATAGTCTTACCTGAATGGTATAGAGATCACCTTGCACAAAAAGCATTGCAACTTTAGAAACAAAAAAGGAAAATGTAACTCCCAGTATTTCAAACCAAAAATTGTTGAGCTTGCAATAAATGGTCACATCTTTCTTTTCAAACCTTGTTCTTCTGGTGAAAAAAAGCTGTCGTAGACATCAGTAAAATATTCTAACAAACCTGCATACTGATAGTTTTTGTAAACCAGGATTGACTATTCCCCATTCAGGTATAAGCTTCATCCAACAACAATTCTTAAAGCCATATGTAAGCCAATTCGTAAAGCCATAAAGCCTTGTTCCCAATATATATTAACACCACCAACCTCTAGTTGATTAATATGTTACTTTAGTTATAGACTAGCAGAGTACCCGTCCTTCGTACGGGGTTGGCATATAAGTATCAAATGCTTATAGCAGTTATGAGTGAGGACATGGTTTAAGAAATTTCGGTTCTTTTTGAAGTTCGTTCGCTACGCTCACTCACCTTTAGGTTGGAGCTCGTTCGCTGCGCTCACTTTCCTTCAGGTTAGCTCGTTCGCTACGCTCACTTGCCTTCAGGTTAGCTCGTTCGCTACGCTCACTCGCCTCCAGGTTAAAGTTCGTTCGCTACGCTCACTCACCTTTTGGTTGCAAATTAGCTGTTGTCATAAATGTAAAAGAAATAATGCTAGTGCTGCACCCTGTTGGTAATCCTTGTAACTTTAATGCTATTGAAAATCATAGAACAGAACCAACTTGTTTAATTGAAACAGCTGTTAAGATTCATTAATTCCATTTCTCATAAGGTTAACATGGGAACCTTTGCTCCAGAGCCACTGGGGCGGAGCCCGGAAGGATTTTTGGGATAAAAATATGCCTATATGTTAATCGGGAATATGAGCTATCATCATGCTGAATTTCAGCCCGATCCGACCAGTAGTTTTCGCGTTTACTTTTCCCATACACACAGACACCACCTCTTTTTTATAATAGTATAGATAGATAGATAATTTATTTTAAATGTTTCCTACAAAATAAAAGTGCCCCTTACTAATCTACAACAAAACATGCATACACAATTGAATCTTTTAGTATGTTGCCATATCCTGTACATTGATTTAGTGTTTTTGGTGTACATCTATCCAACTATCATTCCAGCTTATTTATAAACAAATAAGTAAGCAAATAATTTTGCACTAAATTATAATTGCTTTTGTCTCAATAAGATCATGTAATAATTTTAATTTTCAGCTCAATGCACAATTTACCATTTACTCTTTTGATTACTGTCTATTTTAATTAATTATTAAATATTTTCAGCAAAACAAGGTGAACCTGATCCACATAGAGTCCCGTTCTTCAGCTCGTATACCCGGAGCCTATGAGTTTATGGTGGAATGTGCACCAGGGGGTAACTTAGGGGCTGTTGTTGACAACTTAAAGAAGTCTTCAGAATATTTCAGCATTATTTCTAGAAACCACAAAAACAACAAAGGTGAGGATTATTGTCTTTACAACTGTTATAGTTCTACCTCAAACTTGTATATTAAATAGCAATCACACGACTTTTACATTAACCAATTCATTTGTTTTATGAATTAAGCTTTGTAGTTCATAGTTAATGTCACAGTACCTTAAAGCTACATCAATGCATATGGGTTTGTACACTGTCCAAAGTTAGGTAGGTACAAATGAAAGGATTACATTTCGTTTGCTTTTCCTAGATGAGAATGAATAATGCAAAGATCTGGTGCCAGTTATTTATTCTATAGTTTTGTCAATGCTGTCCTAATGTTATATCCTAGTGTTCCCACCAAATTTTGATCACTTTGTAAACCAACTACAACATGGGCGCTCGCAGATGCAAATCTAAATTCACTATAATCTACTATGAAGTTTTAAAAGGTTTTTTTTATAAGGGTGATTCTGGATTTGACAGTCAAAAGTCATATTTTTACATTAACTTGTTTGTGGAGGAACGCCTTTTCCACCAAACCCCCTGGAACACCATAGTACATAGATACAGATTTATTCCTACTGTCATGTATTCATTAGCAATATTTTCGAGCCTGTTTTTACAACCAGTTGAATGGTTTTATGTTTCAGGAACCGTACCATGGTTTCCTCACAGAATACGTGAACTGGACAGGTTTGCCAACCAAATCCTCTCCTATGGTTCTGAGCTTGATGCTGACCATCCAGGCTTCACTGACCCTGTATATAGAGCAAGAAGAAAGTATTTTGCTGATCTCGCTTACAACTATAAACAGTAAGTGATTTTCTACCATGAGTAAGTAAAAGTAATTATGTTCAAAATTAACCTACACCTTTCAACCAACATAATAATTACACCTGAAAAGATTGAGACATTGTTTATCACACTATAAACATGCTTACCTACTCAACCAAAAAAGTAATTAAAATAAGCACCTTTGAATTTTTTTTTCAACCAAATTTTTCTCAACAGTTAAAAAATAAGCTACAGTAAAGTTCAAGTTAAGCCCTAGATCCAAGACTAATCAAAAATTTTGTACTAGTATTCCAAAAGCAAAATACACCACTTGACATGAATAGGTATAGTGTTGTAGGTAGTCAAATTCATTTAGCAAAATGTTGCATAAATTCGTAAACCATGTCTTGTGTTTTTTAAAGTGTTCTAAAAAATGTTAGTAGATTTTTTTCTTAGTATTTACCTGTCATGTGGAAACACCACTAGAATGAGGTGTCCTGAAACCACAACATTTTCATGGTAGTATTTAAAAGGCAATTTATATCCTGTTGACAGATTATTGTACTTGGTACATAATGAGGTCTGACCCATAAGACTCAATTCATCTAAAGGCACTACTTCTATACTGAAGCCCTGCACAATTGTGAATTAATGCACATACCTGTGTCAACAATGTATTTGTATTATACATGAGATGGACATGTGTTGTCTAGTGGTGAACAGCTTCCTAGAGTAGACTACACGGCCGAGGAGACAGACACGTGGGGCAAAGTGTTCAGACAGTTGGTAGACCTGTACCCCACCCACGCGTGTAAGGAGTTCAACCATGTGTTCCCTCTACTGATAGAGAACTGTGGATACCGCGAGGACAACATTCCACAACTGGAGGACATCTCCAACTTCTTAAAAGGTAAAATTTAAAATTTTTGTTTTATTATAAATATTAATGGTGCAAAGTAACACGAAACTACCAAAATTTGGTAGTACAAATTTTAAGTTACAGTAAAAGGAGAAGCAATTAGCGTAACTGTTGCGATCTAATACTAATTTTCATGTATCGAGCTGGCAGTGAGACTGTTTCTTTGAGAAGTAAAAGTTTGTGTCAAAGCGCTAAGTAACTGTACTAGGTAGTAGGATGAATGCACAAGATACTTACACATGCAAAACATTATTTAACCCTACTATTTATTCATTCTTTCAATATTTAAATATATTTTCCAATATATAAATTATTACCAGAAAATATTTTGTTTCCATAGTCAATAAGGGTCAAATGAAAACCTGACTACTCACAATCCTTAGAACATCCTTAGCATTACGATTTACTAAGATCGAGTTATAACTATTTCAACCGTTACCAATCTAACCACACAATTCCCACAGACAGTACGGGATTTACGCTCAGGCCAGTGGCAGGTCTACTGTCCTCTAGAGACTTTCTCGCTGGTCTGGCGTTCCGTGTGTTCCACTCCACGCAGTACATCCGCCACCCCAGCATGCCCCTCTACACCCCGGAGCCCGACGTGTGTCATGAACTGCTCGGTCATGTTCCTCTGTTTGCTGACCCTGTGTTCGCTCAGTTCTCCCAGGAGATTGGCCTAGCCTCCCTCGGGGCTCCTGATGACTACGTTGAGAAACTGGCCACAGTAAGTATTTAAGTATTTTGTTAGTGTTTTTAAACGCTGTTTACACTTTTTTCAAATTTTGTGTGCATGGAATGGTTCAAATCTTGGCCTTCATACTATGTACGGTACCTAATGTCAACTTTTTGTCAGATGATCATTAATTGTTAGTCCAACAACAAATTGCTTCTGATTCAGAATTGTTCTGCTTGGGATTGGACCAGCAGCTTTCAATTTTGAAAGCAAGCTCTGAAGCACTACAAATGCTCCAAAACAATGTTCGTTGGCATTCTTTTTCTACAACTGGAATATTTAACAGTTTATAGCAGCAAATTCTCAAAACCTTGATTTTGTTACGGTAAACTTGTTGTACTTACTAACTATTAAAAGCGCTGAACATTTTAAGTAATCTTACACTCTTAACATACTCAATTGAACTTCAATAGTATTATTTAGAGATAGATTTCACTGTGTTAGGTGATTTGCCAAGAAACAACACTAGCTTTCTTTGCTCTTCTAGTTTAGAAACCTTAAATACAAAAAAAGGAAAAGTTAGAAAAAAGGATTACCGAAAAATAAAACTGTAAAATATTGAAAGAATCTAGTAACTCAAAAAAGAACAAAATTAATAATTCACTCAGGTAATAATCACTGAGTTAGGGAGTTAGTATGCGTTTTGTTTCCTGATTGTATGGATCTAGGATAATTTCAGTTTCAGTAGAATCAATTCTCAAGAATCAACTTAAAAAAAACTGAGTAGCTTAGGTTTTAATGGTTTTCTTACCTCTAAGGAATGTTTTTTTCCTAAAATTCCCCAATCTTCTGTCCAGTGCTACTGGTTCACAGTAGAGTTCGGCCTGTGCCGCCAAGATGGACAAGTGAAGGCGTTTGGAGCTGGTTTACTCTCCTCTTTTGGTGAGCTCAAGTATTGCCTGAGTGACAAGCCTGAACTGCGACCCTTCGACCCTCCCAAGACGGCGCTGCAGGCCTACCCCATCACAGAGTACCAGCCTATCTACTACGTGGCAGAGAGCTTTGATGATGCCAAGGAGAAAATGATGTAAGTAGTTTGTAGTATAGAGTTTTTTTTTTTTATGTGAATGTGAAAGTTAGTACAGATGTGACGCAAGTTTTAACTTTGAATACAAAGGTTCAACCAGTGGCCAGATTTCTGGTACCCCATAAACCCCGTTCCGGTAATTCGATCATGCTGGTTCGCAAATTTGTTTGAAGAAATGTGGTTTTACTTATTTGTACCAAAATTCGTCAAAATTGGATGATTTTTTTACAAGAGTTTATCATGCTAATGGCCAGGCCATATATACATATAGTATATGATTTTGAACGGATGATGTTTTTGGCCTCTGAAGACGCTTTTATAAACGGGCAGACTGGGAATATGCCCAGGGGCGCCGGAGGTTGAGTAACTACCGCCCACCCGCACTAGGATTATGGGGGGGGGCCTGCTTTTGAGTTTACCCAGGGCTCCACTGACCCTTAACGCGGCCCTGCTGAGGACATCAAAACGAAAATTTAAATCAGTCCCGGTTCCAGATCATTTAGGTTCTACCATGAAGATGAAACTACAGTAATTATTAACAATTACCTTATTCTCTACGTGTAAAATTCTCTAAAAATAGGCTGCATTCCTAGTCATTGTTTATCCACTAGTTTTTTTTTTTTTTTTTTTACTTCATTGCTTCATTTTCAAATCGATTATCTTAAACACTTTTTGTCAAAATTCATGTTTAAAATCATTTAACACATTCGATGCGGCGGGTCCACCGGTGGACCCCGCGCGTCTCAGCTGAGGAGCGGGGGGGTCCACGGGTGGGGGAGCGCGCCATGTCATGTTTATTGTTTCAATATGAGCTCAGCCATTGTCGGGGAACGTTGTAATCTTTACCAGCCTGTAGCTTATAATGCGAGCTTTATTCTGGTGTAGGTTGGTACAAAAATTGCCCGTAAAATCCCGTCTGGCAATGCTTTTGTCCCGTTTTCGGGGATTTTCTCAGTTCGAGCCGTATTACAAAGACTCTGGTTATTGATCCAGGCAGTGCTGCTACCTTTGGGTGTTTCAGTGAACTACGTCCACTTTCGGAGTAACGCAGAACAATCACCACTGCTCTTTTGTGATTGGTCTTACTGAGATATACCGTCGGGGCTCCGCCCGGGCCTCGCCGCCATTGGCGAGCGCCTGTTTAAAGGTTTCAGCAGCGAATGTGTTAAAATAAATGATAGGAAAGAAATTTTACAATAATTGTAAAATCATAAAATCATTTGGTAGCAAAACAAAATGTAACAATTGTAACTGGTCAAGAAGAGGTCCTTTTTGTAACAGATATTTTTCTAACACACAATAAGACTATTCATGGGATATTCCTTTTCATTTCATACATTGTAAAGTAAACTAAAAGTCAACCAACATTTCTTATGTTACAGTAAATACGCTCAAACAATACCCAGAGACTTTGGCGTGAGATACAACCCGTACACTCAGAGCGTTGAGATCCTCGACTCCAAACCTCAAATACAGGAACTCTTCAATGAGCTTTCCCATGACATCAACTTCCTAAGCGATGTTGTGCAGAAGATAGGAATGTAATCCTTAGTATTAGTACCTGATTGTGTATATGTTAGACTATTGTTATTTAGTCTGTGTAAGTTTTACTTTTAATTAAAATAATTAATTTAATTACATGTGACTTTGTTTATTCCTTGACAATGTCTTTAGGATTATACATATTGGACAGAAATGTTGTAACTAAAAACTGTAAGCCTAAAACTCTTGAATTATTTTCGAGTGATTTTTTTTTATTTATCGTCATGAACAATTAAACATGACTAGTAGCACCAAGTACCGGTTTTTATTTTCTTAAATCACATTTTTCAGTTTTTAAAGAATTCTATCTGTTTTCTATAGCTAAAAAGGGTGAGATATCTACCCGCAGATCCAAAGTCAATCGTGTAAGGCATTTTTAAGAATTATCCTCTTATGATAAGACATTCAAATAAACTTTAATTCAAAAAGTATAACACAATTTATAACATATATTTCTTAAACATTTAAAAATAATCAATGAACTAACCAAACTATAAATTATAACAACAATTTGCACATTTACTAATAATACCTAACGTTTACATCAACATAAAAGTAATGGAGCACAGTTTCTTAAATTATACGATTACAATAAAATTGGTAAATACAGTTATATTTTTAAGATACACTATCCAGAATGTAGAATACAAGTTTTGCACAAATGAAAAACCTGTGTGGAGCAAAGGGTAAAGATGGTTTCTTGTTATTACATACATCATTCCATTGGTTTACATTATAAATTCAGGTAACTTACAATGGCATGTTCATATTCATATTCTACATAGTGATTACAATTGACTTATGGAATGATCGCAAGGCATCACAAAACGTCCATATCACAGAAATATATGTATAGAAATGCATGATCAAGATTAAAAGAACAAATCTAGAAAGAATAAGGGTAGAAATTTACTAAAATGTTAGAAAACAAACAAAATTTAAATTTGTAATAGGCCTACTTAAATTTCTAAAAGAACAAATATAATATAGGGAGGTTTTTAATTGTAATTATATACCTAGAATTTAGAATGACTGTTAAACCCTAATGGCACAAAAGCGGCATATAAAATAAAAACAGCTTATTCCCTAAATGGGAAATTTGCCAAAAGGTCACGACAGAAGATTTTAACTTTATTTTTTTGTTTTATTTCACTTTAAAATCACTAAAAGGCAAAAACACACACCCTACAGAACATATTAATAATAATCTATTAGGATGGCGTAAGATTTGCATATTGGAACTAACTTATAAATCACACAACTGGTAACTAGCAGATGACTAAAAACGTCTTTACAACCTTGCGTGGTACCTAGATTAGTTTTATCTAAAAAAAATTTAATAGGTGTAAAGAAAATATACATTTTAAAAGCATAAGATAAAAGTAGAGTGCACAAATATTTTGTAAAGATTACAAACTATCCTCTAAGTATATTCAATCGGCGAAAAGTATTTAATTCGTTAACAAAATTGTTTTACAAATAAATATCATTTTTTAAATATAGTTAACGATATATTAAACAATTATAAACAGCGAACATATATTTTATGTTCTTTACTTACTGATATTTGAATTCACAAATATTTAAAAAAGTTTTCTCCACGGTTAACAAATCTGTATTACCACATTTCTGCTGTAGAATACAACCACTTTAAATAATTGAATTAATTACCACCAATTCAATATCACACCAACATGTACACAATAACATTTAAAACACACATTTATTTATTATACTTTTCAGGAACAGAATGGTCAATTAAGAGTTTGTATTTATTTGATTTTATGTGATACAAAAAAGTTTACACCAACACATTTAAAATTAATTAATCAAACTTAATAAAAATTTAAACAGGACAAAAAGTTACATTAAAAATTGTATTAGTGGATTGTCAAATATAACCTCAAATTGATGATTTCCTAAGTTAAAGAGATCAACTTACTCTGCAGGGAAATTTGTAAACGATTGGTAGATCAAACGCATAACTATAACATTGAACACAGTCAAACCTTGAAATTTTTGAATGGACTTGAGAACATAGTTCTTTATATCAAGGATTTTTTACATTGACATTCGTTGTATTTAAAAGGGTTAGACAATACTTCACTAAAAGAGGTTCACATTATTATTTTTATGTGATACAAAAATATTACCCACTGAAGAACTAGAGGCTACAACAACAAAGGTAATCTGATAGCATTCAAGACAAAAAGTTGATTTTTGTAAATTGCTATAACATACAAATACAAAATAAAATACTGGAATGTTTGCTTCAAAAAGGATGATTTCCAAAATGGAAGGTTTATATTTAAAAAATATATAGAGATAAACTTAACTGGTTAGAGTTTTGAAACATTTGTTTGTTTGTAGTAAAGATTGTATATTCTTATAGGCATTTCACAGGGATTTCACAAATTGGTTACAATGACAATTTGTTATATTGAGGTCTTTTACATCAAGGAGTTCATTATATCAAGGTTTGACTGTAAAATATTCTTTCAGAAACAACTAAACACCTATAATTGTTGGTGTACGACAATACCTACAAATTAATCTAAAGATATGATTAACTAACAACACACATACATATTTACACCAAAAGCAGGCATGAACTTAGACAGCCACATTCAATCAAAGGATGATCTAAAATATACAAAATAACAAATAAAGAGTCATAAAATGGTGAGGTAAAATTATGTGTTACGTATATGAAATTACGTACATCTACATTATTACATATTTTACAACATTGAGAAATGATGTACGTGAGAAACATTAATTCTTTTCAGGGGAAAAATCTATTTTGTATTCATACCACAGCTAGTAGGCCTATAGTTGAATGATAAAGATTATAATTAATTAACGAGCAATAAACTAATCTTCTTAGTTCAATGTGTTTTCTTTTTGCTCTCTCTAAATCTTTTCAATTTTTTTTTTTTTAATAAGCCACACATACAGATGTAAAATTAATCAACTCTATTGCATTGTCTGTATTAAAAATCCCAAAGAGAGAGATAAAATGAACATAACTTAAATACATTAAAAGATTCTCCTATTAGGTTTATTTTACCACAAGTTAGATGAAAATTTTTTAAACTCCAAGCTCAGAGTAAAAAGTGGCTGGTAGCTCGATATTTAAAATGTTTAACCAGCCTAGAAGTTTCACATTTATATATTTTTTACCTATATAATAAGTATATAAGATATACTTTCATCTTTTAAGATATAAGAAAGAATAGCTCAAATAAGATATACTTTCTTCTCTTAGATATATTAGATTTATTTTCTACAGTATATGTTTAGAAAAATAGTTTCTCTGTTTAGCTGTTGGAATACGCACATAAAAATGTATTTCATAAAAATATTACAGCAACGCTTTCTTCAGTAGTATATTTAGAAAAGAAATATACCATCAAGTAATTATTGTCTAATACCCTGTTTTGTTGGAAATGCATTCATATTTCTAGCACTTGTATTGTAATAGTTTCAAAAATAACGTCTATGTTATTTCATTTTGGCCCTTATGTAAAAATATTTTACAACTGAACTTAAAACCCACAAATCACATGACAAATCCTACTAAGACAGATTGAAATTAGTCCATGGTGGAGATATTACAATCTAATTACAGTAATTCAGTAATATTATGATGAAAACTATATGTAGAGTGAAAAGTTGTCATATTGGCCCATACTATTTTTCCGCTGGCTACTATACTTTTCAAAATGTCTAAATGTTTGGACAACTTAAGTTCGCCCTTGCACCGCTAGTTTATTGACTGTGTTGGGTTGAGTTGGGAGAGTCCAGATTCTGAGAGAACAATAGTTGCTGCGCTTGCTGCACAGGAAACTGAAAGTGCTGCATTGCTTCATCAGATGACTGCGCTTGCTGATAGTTTACCTAGGAGTCAGCTTAGGTTAGAAAGTGTATTTAACATCCAATGTTCATCGTGGCAATATACCAGTGATGAAGTATTGATATAAAACCCAATTAATTTTTGTACAGTATTTTTCATTGTAGAACTGCACACTAGTCCTCTGATTAAATTAATTTATACTTTGAAATATTATGTTAAGAACAAAATTAGGTTTAGTTTGGGTTATTTTTTTTATAATATAATAAACAACCAAATTTAAAACGCGTAGAATACTTTTTAGTACCGTACACACCAAAAAGTTACTATCGAAATCCCCGTTTCAGTTGATGCCATGATATTATGACATTTATGCGTTTATTGCACACATCTCATTCTTAGCTTATTCGTTCCATTACTTCATATTCAGTACCTACTAGTCAACGTCATTTCTTAGCATTGTTGACACAAACATCAACAAATTAGAGCACAGCTCAACATTTAGGGTTGTCTAAGTTGATGAACAGCAGAGGTAATTGGATTCAAAATCTTTGAAATCATACCCTATTCAAATTTATGAGTTTGATTCAAAATTTTCAAAACAAGATGGAATAATATATGATGTTCAGGACCAAACGATTTCTTCAAGTTGGTGATAGTTAATTGGAAATAGTATAACATTAAACAGGAATCTTTTTGTGTACAACGTGCACAAAAAGCACTAACCGTGAACAAAATGCTATCACACAAGAAGTATTGTCCCCAACAATTTAGGCTGTTTGAAATTTAGTAGTTGCTATTTCCACAATCTCTTAATTTTATATGGAGGAAACAATAATTTCCTATGTAATCAGCTGTTATCGCTTACCTGATGAGGATCAATCATGATGTGTGGCCGCTGCACAGGATGTCCAGGTACAAATATCTCTGCCGGAGTAGTGGCAGCAACAGTGAGGTGAGGTGCCGTGGCAGGAACTGTGTATGGCATGGTCACCTGTCCAGCACAGCACATGTGTTAGCGTCAAGAGATCTTAAGATCCCAACACATCACTTTAGACTAGGACCAGTGGTTGCGGCATTATCACTTTGATCAAATCCATTGGTGATTGGTGGGATTTGAACCCAGGACCTCAAGGATCAAAGTCTCACGTTCTAACAATAAACCAGCTCGCTCCTCAAAAGAAAGAGAATAGGGTGCACAAACCCACAAATCTTTTTATCAGGCAGGTACTAAACTTTTTTTATAATAGAAACTTATCAAAACATTCAACTCACATTGATGAGAGGCTGCAGCAGACCATATCTGGCCATGAACAGCTGTTCTGAGACCCTCCTCAACTCTTCCTGTTGCTGCACTATCAGCTGCTGAAGCTGCTCGTGCTTCTTCTGCAGCTGATCCTGAATCTGTGACTGAGAGGAGCTCATTACCAAGGGTTGTCTCAGAGGTACCTGTAAACAAACATATAATAATTACTGTACTGTAATTACCAAACAACAATTAACATATAACTGGGTGTAGCTGAGGGGTCATTGCAGTGCTTATCAATTAATTTGAAGGTAATTAGTTAGTCATAGTCATAATCCAGCGAAAAGATAAGAAATAATTTTGACAGTGTCCTGCCCTTTACAAAGTAACCTGAGCTAAAAGTTGATAAAAAAATCAAAGCTTTCAAGCAACTCATTCAACATTCATCTTTCAACCATCTTTGCCTTAAAACACACAAGGTGAGTTACTTTCAAAGTACAAGATTCCAGGAATCCACTTCTGATGGGTCTACTTGGCTCAGGCATAATTTAAGGTAGACGTATGAATCAATTATGAATGTGAAATGGGTGATATATATTGTCTAGGAACTTAAACTAAACTTTCTGCGACTGATCTATGTGTGGAGATCTAAAGATAGTTAAGAGCTATAACGAAATAAGTTATATGAGGAAGCCAGTGGTGAATGCAGAGATAAGATAGATAATGCAAGCAAACTTGGCTTACCAACCCAAGACAGATACAACCCCACTAACTTTGTTACATGCACATTATGTGATTATTTGTTTTTTTATTTAATAATACAAATGTTTTTACTACTGTGGCCTAGATCTCACATTAAGCACGCCTAGGTGTAAGTCGCCCACCTCAGACGTGGGCACTGTGGTGACTAAGGTGGTGGGGGCAGCGAAGGCGACAGGTTGAAGTGGAATGGCTGTCACTGCGTAGGTGGCTGGTGGCTCTATAAACTCGGGCACTGGTGTACTCTTAGTGGTCGGGGCAGCCATCTTGGAGCCAGTGGTGCTCACACATCGTGATCTCTGTAGAAATATTGGCTTACAGATCTCATAGAAATGTATGCACCAAATTAGCTAAGTAGAATCAACTTGGTAAAATGTTTCAACATAAAGATTATTTGTAATTTAACTAAAAATCTGGCAATATTACAAATCTAATTCAGGAGACTATTCAATAAAACTGGGACTTGAGCTATATTTTAGGTGAATCAGAAACCTAATTTCATTACTGTTTAATAGATTCAATGCTCTCATAAATATTCGCCACTTTTTGAATTACAGGAAAGCTGCAAAATAAATTTATGTCAGTAATTAATTATTAATCTGGTGAAATAAGTGAAAACTGTTTAGTGCTGATTCTTTCTATCCCAAATCTGGGAATTTACTCATAAAAACAATAGACTGAATTTTGAAAATTTTCCTTATCCAAAGTCAGTGTCACCACTCACCACACTTGGAGAAGTGATCTGAGAGTGTCTGGAAGCCACGGAGTCAGCTGACAAAGAAGTATCAGACTCTCCCCCACCTCTGCTAGGTGTGGGGAACCTCTTCATGTCATACTGCTGTGAGTTTTTGTTACCTGGCCAAACAAACAATGTAAAACATAATGATAAACATTTATTAACTAAATTTTATGCTGATCCTTTGATTTACTGATGCATGTGAGGGGGGAGTTTAGTTGGTAACATATGGTGGGTGTAATCTGGTGGTGTATTTGGTTGTGTTGTAGTGTAAGAGTGTTGGTGAAATGGAGTACTAGTGTTTGTACTTAGGTGCAGAGACTAGCACTTTGGCTTATGGAATGTAACAATAACTTATTAAATACATCTGGTAATTGAACTGAGACTAGAGCCTTCTCCTGGGGAGTTACATTCCTTGACCAACGTTGTTGCAATAGTTGACTAGAGAGGATTGGGTTCTGTCAACGTTTTGGGATCCGGACCAAACATTTGCCCAAATTAAAATTATTCCAGCCGAGGGAGGAAAGCCATTAGGCTTGTACCCTGGTTATTTGTTCCTAGCTTAACATGTTAACCTATTCCTTATAGGACCATTCCTATTCCTTGTGTATTTAGGAAAGTTACCAGAATGTCTTTCAAATCTAACATTAAATAACAAATTTTGTATTTTTGCAGATGATATTAATCTAACGATAGCTAGTAGCAATAGAAGTAATGTTTTTGATCAATTATCCCTAGCAACAAACAAAGTCAACGAAAGACTAAGTAACTTGAACCTTTTAACTAATAAAAATAAAACAACAATAATTAAATTCTCTTGTAAAAATGGTAATTCAAGGAATGGCACAGAACCAACAGACTTGCCTTAATACTGTTGACCTTGCTGAAAAGTCAAAGTTCCTTGGTATTCTACTGGATAGAAAACTGTCTTGGTCAGATCATGTAAAAGAGGTATGTTCAAAAGTTAGTTCAGGAGTCTTTGCTCTGAAGAGATTGTCCTCTTTTTGTGACATCAAAACATTGCAATCAATGTATTTTTCAATGGTCCATACCCATATTGGGTATGGTCTTGAAGTATATGGAGCAACATCAAATTTTAACCTCAAAAAAATTTTACATCTTCAAAAAGATGCAATAAGATCAATGCTTAAATTGGATTTTGATGCACACTGTAAAAAACATTTTATTGGATTGGGTATCATGACAGTTTATAGCCTTTATATTTACAAAACTGTTCTTCATGTTAAACGTAATATTTCAACATTTACTAGAAACGTCGATAATCATAATTACAACACAAGAAACCGATATAATTTCCAAATTAAAAAGCATAAAAAAGAAATATTTAAACAAAAACCATCATACATTGGAATACAATTTTTTAATCAATTACCAATAAAAATCAAAAATGAAACAGATGACAACAGATTTAAAAACGCTCTAAAATTACATTTGACACAAAATGCTCTCTATAAATTCAAAGATTTCTGGGCTAAGCAATAACAGCATTGACTTAAAATGTTTTAGGCCTATTGCTGTTTCACTGAACTATATTTTTGTTTTCACTGAAGTATGCTTTTGTTTTATACCTACTTGAGAGATGACTGTATTATTTTGTTGTTTTGTTCTTGTGTATTGTATTTGTCTTTTATTTGTGTTTATATTTTATGTAATGATGAATTTGACACCATTCTTGTATATACAATTTTATATACTAATGAATAAAGATGTTTTGAATTGAATTGAATTGAATTGAATATATCGGTAAACTTATCTTCATGGAAATTGAAATTGTGTCGGACAAGGCAGTGAAGCTGTGAGCGCGGGAGATTCTGGAGAAGACAGGGGAGAGTTCCGGAATGAAACCGTTGAGGTTCAAAGCGGCGAACCCGAAAAAACAAATAAGTAAATGGCAGGCTCACGTGTCGCACCATGAAGCCTGTGGCGTCAAATTAATAGGCCTAATCCTTTCTCAGGCAGTCAGAAACTCAGAAGTAGGGGTAAATTTGAAATTTATCTTTAAGATGCTCACTACACTAGACGCTTTCTATTCCATTACAATTGACAACTTTACATTTTTGAAAATACCGGATTACAAAAAGTTTGCTTACAAATATCCGGTGAGAAAAGTTCCTCGTGCATCATTCTGGGCCAGTTACTAGGGTTACCTACCGGGTGATCTGCTATTGGATGCCCAGGGTGAAGACTCTCGCGGAGGTTCTCTGCTGAACGGAGCTTCTTGACTTTGTTCTGCAGATGAGTCTGGATCCTTCCGTAACTGCTTCACTACATTTATGTGGCTGCAACGGATAAAACAACATTGTGAGATGAGAACAGTAGTGATGGGTCAATAACAATTTATAATTAAATGATGTTGGTTTCAGTTCAGTATTTTTACTATGTTCTCAGTTTTTGATTTATTGGTTTAAAGGTCCCTGAGTTCCTGTAAATAATATCTGTATAAATAATAACAAAAAATAGTTTCTAAAAATCAACTTTAAATTAAGGATTTTTAATTGAAAGTTAATATACTTTTATTACAATAATAATAATAAAAAATAAACAAGTTTTTTGTAATAAAAGACAAGCACAATTGAACAAATTATAATACACATGAAGGGTGGCCCTTGCAGTGTGCAGACCTCAGCAATTTGATCATGCAGGATTCAATCATTTTTCAGTACTCACTTTCTTTGAATGAGTTCAGGTTAATAGCAACTAGAAAGTTAAGAAGTGGTGTTAAAGTGGCTAGTAGGCATTAGTTACAGAAAGATTACTTCTAACAACCATTAGGGGTTTACTTTAACAACTACTTTGGGTACAAGATAAGATAACTCTGCAAGCAGCCTCACAAACTTTAAAAGTAAATCTGATTTGAACATTTAAGTTACCTGATCACTCTGTGGGTGCAGACGACAAACTCAGGTTTGGAGTTCCACTGATGATAAGTGATGTAGAACCGGGTCTGTAGCCAGATCCACTGTTGGCCTTTGGTCAGGAACCGGTAATAACAAGACGTGCCCTCTCCTTTCTGCATTACTACAAACAATAACCAAATATTCGTCAACATAGCACAATATTGTTTTGATGATATTACCTCCTATGTTACCACCATTATCACCATTCAAAAGAGCACTGATACACAATCGAGTACAGTATGGTGATATAATAATAACTTTACGGTTAAGTTATTTAGAAGACACAGATAATAGACAAATTACATGTCAAAATTCAGTGGTCTCGATCGTTGCACCTAAACCAGCAAAGGTCAAACAACAAAGAAAATAGTTAACCCTATAGATAAGAACATAAAACGATAATGTTTCTATCTTGTCACACCAATTCAAAGGTTTAAGATTGTTTTCCATTAAAACCACTACCTTTTTCCCATATTAAAGCCATTATCACAAATAACATAAACAACAAGCCCATACTGGGACAAAATAAGAAAATAAGTTAGCAATCTTACAAGCTTCATGGCACATGATGACTTTGTCAAGATCGTCCACGTGGTAGTAGTCGTATCCTGAAGTTCCAAGCACTTCAAAGGGAAGGTAACCAATTATTTGGGAAGCTCTGAAACAATATTTTATTCATTTATTCAAACACTTTACTTGTACGGTATCATCTTTTATTGCCCTAGCTTATTATCGAAAGTGAAAAATTATCAGGTGACAGAATACCTTACCTTTGAGTATAGATCCTTTAGTCCTAGACTTTGACACAACCATTTAGTAAGTTATATTCTCATCTTAAATTGTAAGTAGTTTCAGAATAAAAAATAACTAGGTTCTATTGAGCCGCTGGGGGAGTGTGCTGTTTGGAATCTCCAATTGTAAACTATAGCAGCTTTTATGTCCTAAACCAATTAAATGACGATGAGTCAACACTTTTTGTCCTTTTATCTATATTCAGTTATTCACATACACAATTTTTTTACAAAAAATTATTTGCAGTCTATTCTTACATCTAGAATAGTAAGCAAATATTTGTAAGTTTTCTTTTACTAGACCAACACACAGAATATTTCATAAGCTAGAATCTCAGAAAAGTAGTTATTTTTGAGAGTTGGATGTTTGAAATTTCAAATTGTTTTAAAAATGTCAAAGCAGCCTGTTTAAAATTTTACTCACCTGTGGTCTAAGAATAGGAATTTCCACTCTAGACTATGCCTTGATGTAAATTCACTTTTAGATGAATCTACAATGGACATTTCTCTGATCAACTGGGGGGTCTGAAGACGGCCAGTTCCAACAAACACCAATCTGAAATAAGTTTTTGAATAAGAAATTAAAGTACCTGTCAACCCTGAAATGTATGACCTTACAAGTATTTTACAAAAGGCCTACAATATGCAGCCAATAAAGAAGGAGAAGGTCGTAGTTGTTAAAAAAGCTAAAAAAAGCCATAACACTCATATTTGGATTAAAATCATTCCAGTTACATCCCTATCTCAAATAGTATTATAATGAGAGGTTAATTGTGTAGCCCGGGGAAGACCTAAGCAGAGGTGGTGGAAGCAAGTGCAAGAAGATTTGGAGAGAATTGGGGCAACGGAGGAGGATGCGAAAGACCGGTTAACTTGGCGAAGATTTGTTGGTGCGGCCAAATATCACCTCCGATATAAATGGCCCTGGGAGTAAGTAAGTAAGTAAGTAATTGTGTAGCCAGTTTCCATTTTTCACTAGGCTTACAATTAACGATACTAATACTATCTAACAATAGTAGGGATGGACAGGTCCCGAAATTTCGGGAATTTTTCGGGGAAAAAATATTCCCGATTATCGGGACGGGATTACATTTGACTCGGGAATTTTTCGGGACGGGATTTGGTCCGATCGTCGGCGATTTTTCCGCTTCGCGAGTGCCGATAACGCCGTTATTGCTAGCGATAGGTCCGCGAATGCAGGAGACAAAGTCATTTCGACGATTACGCCGTGACCGCGGAGTCATAACGACGATCGCGCTGTGGCCGCGATTATTGGACCGACGATCGCACCGTGACCGCGAGTCATAACGACGATCGGGCTGTGACCGCGGAGTCATACCAACAGTTATGCCGTGACCGCGGAGTCATACCGACAGTTACGCCGTGACCGCGGAGTCATAACGACGATCGCGCCGAGACCGCGGAGTCCTACCGACGATCGCGCCGTTACCGCGGAGTCATACTGACGATCATGCCGTAATGGCGAGTCATACCGACGATCATGACGTGACCGCGGAGTCCTACCGACGATCGCGCCGTGACCGCGAGTCATACCGACGATCGCGCCGTGACCACGAAGTCCTACCGACGATCGCGCCGTGACTGCGGAGTCATACTGACGATCATACCGTGATGGCGGAGTCATGCTGATGATCGAGCCGTGACCGCGAGTCATGACGACGATCGCACCGTGACCGTGGAGTCATACCGACGATAATCCCGTGACCGCGGAGTCATACCGACGATCGCGCCGTGACCGTGGAATCATACCGACGATAACCCCGTGACCGCGGAGTCATACCAACGATCGCGCCATGACCGCGAGTCATACCGACGATCGCGCCGTGACCGCGGAGTCCTACCGACGATCGCGCCGTGACCACGAAGTCCTACCGACGATCGCGCCGTGACTGCGGAGTCATACTGACGATCATACCGTGATGGCGGAGTCATGCTGACGATCGAGCCGTGACCGCGAGTCATGCTGACGATCGCGCCGTGACCGCGAGTCACACCGACGATCGCGCCCGTGACCGCGAGTCATGACGACGATCGCACCGTGACCGTGGAGTCATACCGACGATAACCCCGTGACCGCGGAGTCATACCGACGATCGCGCCGTGACCGTGGAATCATACCGACGATAACCCCGTGACCGCGGAGTCATACCGACGATCGCGCCGTGACCGCTAGTCATGACGACAATCGCGCCGTGACCGCGAGTCATGACGACGATCTTGCCGTGACCGTGAGTCATACAGACGATCACCCCGTGACCCGCGAGTCACAAGTTTCTATAGGTACCTGTAAATTGTTACCCATTTTTTGGTTTTTATAGATCAGTGCCACAAATAAAAAAAAAAATTGATTTTGTATGTCTTTTTTGGTAACTGCAATACAGTACTTTCTTTTTATGCACAGAAAAAAATCCCGTCCCGTCCCGTCCCGAAAATCGGGAAGGAAATAAAAATCCCGTCCCGTCCCGTCCCGAACTAAAAATTCAATCCCGTCCATCCCTAAACAATAGGTTGAATAAATAGTAGACAAGAGTTTGAAATTATTTCCTTACAGAAAAATGACATGTCAGTAGCGAGAGAACACACAAAGTAGAAAACAAAACTGAAATATGTCGTAAAAGTCATATTGCCAATAATCATTGTCATTGAAAACTTAATTCCATAATTTATAAACAGTGAATAAACATCTTGTTCCAGTTACAAAAGAAAGTGGAGACATGAATTCCTTCCGAGATATATCTTTGCAGTATTGAAAGTATTGACTCAATTGACAAACCTTGTGTCAGCTTCACCAGAGTACCCACTATAACGGTTATTCCCTCCTCCATCTATCTGCAACGATTCCATGTCTGCTCCTACAAACAAACAGCAAAAATCAAAAACTTAGACTAAGTTTATCAATTTTAAAGAATCAAAGTTTTTGTTCATTTAACAATCACGGGGGGACAGCAGATTTAGATATTTGCTATCTCCATTTTCTTCTATAATTTATCTTAACATTTTCTCTAACTTAACTAGCATAGCCTAATCTATTTATTTGACCTAGGAGGATTCATATATTTGTGTTTTGAAATCAGTTGTAAATAAAGAACCTGCCAAATATTCTGCCCCAACTTTAGGTGTAACCTCAAGTAATATCAATTTTGCCTGTGTTCGAAAAAAAAAAAACTACTTAAAAATATTACACAAATAAAATGAAACCTAAAATTACATAATAATGTTTAAATTGTATCTATTTATGTACATTATTTTAAGAACAGAAATGCAACGTTAACTTGGCCTTGATGATGGAAAAATATCAATAGAAAGTAGAAACTCATTTTATGATACTCTAGAGTTTGAATCTCACGATCGTTTTTGCAATGTCTGAATAACTGAGAAAGCATGACAAATTATAAACATGACAAAAGAAAATACTTACTAAAGTAACCGACAAATCGGACCAACTCATAAGTAACTTCTTCTGAAAAGTCCAGACTACCTCGCTTGCAATGGCACACAAACGCTACTTGATTATCTGAAACAAAAATTATTCGTTCTAAACATCGATGAAAGCATGTTAACAAGACAAGGGTTTTGGAAAATGATAGAATTGAGTTACAGATAGATTACATTAGGAATACAAGATGAATCCTTTAATAGGCTAAGCTTGACCCATTGTTGGTTAGATAATATAGGGTAATTGTAAAAATGTTTAATAGGCTACCAGAAAATACTCGACAAATCGAACAAATTTTTTGCAAATCGTAACCCAGATATTCACGACAATTTCTTAAATAAAGTAGCCTCTGAGGCTATTAGTTCAAATACGGTTTACAACCCTATGTGAAATCATTGTGGCACACAGAATACAAATAGCCTATATTAACAGGGGGCTTAGCTTACCTTTATTATTCTCATAGAGAACATTGGTAACAGGATTTAGAAACATGTTGTACAACTGTGACTGGTCCTCATCATACACAACATCATAGATTGTCATGTTTAACAGATCATTCTGAAACAAGAGTAAGAGTTTCAGTTAGGAAAAGGAATGAATAAATGAAATAAAAACATTTGTCTGATAACAAAATAATAGCCTAAAGTAAAAACACCAAACACAATTGTCAGACAAATTCAGCAGACTTAACAAATTAATTTGCGAAAAGTTGCCTTGTATAATTTTTGTACCTACAGTAGAAATTCATATAAGGTAGGGATGGTACCTACAGTAGACTTTTGAGTTGTAATTGCTGACTCATCGGTAGACAGTGAAATAAACCAAGAAAACTCTATATAGTCATCCTGCAAAATGATTGCCCTTCTCACATTTAAGAAATCTTATACCTAACTTACATAAAAAAAATATTGTTTTTCTTTTCCGAGTTCGTTTGTGTCTTCTACCCGACCGATTTTCATGATTGAGGTCTCAAATTGAAGGTTTGCACGCACAAATTTCACATCAAATGTCGGCATATATTTATGTACAGTCCCACTAGGCTTGGTAGGTAAACAACATTTGCTCCCCATGTATTTCTTCTGGGAGTTAAATTTGGTTTTTCTTTTCCGAGTTTGTTTGGCTCTTCTACCCGACGGATTTTCTTGATTGAGGTCTCAAAATTGAATGTATGCATGCACACAGATCTCATATCAAACATCGGCATATATTTATCTACTGTATTACTCGACCAAAAGAAACATATTTGATTTAATTTTGAATTGTTACTTCAATTTTAGATGTATTTCACCAGTTATAATTAATCCTACATAGTTTGGTCTAAGAACCTTCATTGAAATACCGGCTTTCATTTAAGGTAGGCCTATAAGTTATTCAAATCGGACGAGTTTCAAGCAAACGCAAGGTGAACAACCAACATGAACATTATTTTTATGCAATTTTTCTATGATTACTAATTAGTAGCTCCAGTATGGTTTATGTTTTTTTATAAGTTTTAGACTCAAAATAATCCGTAAACTATAGACTTCAATTTGGGTTATTGATTGCTTGAATCGGTTAAGTTCAAGATACTGTATTATACTCAATAAAAAATCCTAAGTTTGATTATTATATCTTGGATCTGATATCTAGGCCTATTTCAAAGCTGCGGAGAAGAATGGGTCCTCTAATAACATATATTAATTTGCTTTTACGTACTTTTAACTTTTTCATTTTAACAGTTTTGTAGCTGTGGTTGATTTGCATCGCAGTTAATCCACTTTGTGTATGAGTCTACTCTACTACACTAAACATGTAAAACCTAAGTTAATCCATTTACATTTTATGACAAGATAATGGACATTAAGTATTTAGAAAGTGTGAAATCGATTATAAATAGGCCTATACCGTACACCTTTGAATAGGAAGCTAATCCATTCCACGAGGGAAATATTACCATTCATTGCGCAGTTATGTACTTTTATTAAACCTATTTGTTAAGTGTATTTCTAGTAAAACGTTTGTTTTTAAGATTTCACTTACAGGAAGATGTCCTAGAAGAGCTGTGATACTTTCAGAAGCATAAAGAATCCTTCCAGAAGAAGAGAACACCATGATAAAACCGTCTAGTGCCTCCAAAATTAAGTGAGTAAATTCTTCATTTGAAAGAAAAGCTGGCTTCCATTCCTCTTGGATTTCATGCACTCTTGATCTAACAGCTAGATCTGTAAGTAAAAGTAACGGTTAATTACTGCATTAGGCTATCTTATAACATGTTAGTCATAGTTGGAATATTAAATTGAAATATTTAGAAAAAACATTTAAAAAAAGTGTTAAAAGCAGAAACTTTTTATTTATAAGAATAAGAATTAAAATAGTCTATGCTATATTTTTTAATGTTGTTAAATACAACAGTAGGCCTACTACGGACAACCGGTATAAGAACCCATGACATCGCTACCTTAGTTTCACAGTCTGTGACACAGAAAACCTACTCACCAAATATTAAAAACCATGTATCTTACCATTGTGATTTTTTAGGAACGATATTGTTGATTTTAAAACTGTAGATTTGTCCATTTTCCTGCTGTTTGTAGAAACCATGGAAGAGAGTTCGTTTATAAGCAAATTGAATTGGTCTCGCCTCTTTTTCTCACTTAAATTGCGGGATTTCCTAAACAGAAAAGATCAAGTTATAAAAAAGTGACAAACTAAACCAACTACAAATTCTTTTACAAATTATCTTTTGATGTTTATTTCATAATGTATTAGAATGACGTTTTACAATGCCTTATGTACTAATTTAAGTTCTAAAGGAAATAAAATGGTCTTATGTCTTACGTTTATTTATTCTCCATTTAAGAATAACATGGGAATTGTAATTTACAATTTTTTTAATTAGCCTAGGCCTATATCCTTAACTTTTAGGCATACAACAAACACTTCAATACCTAGGCCTATTGGCCTACAGTTTTCTTTTAGCTCTACAACATTGTTCGGAAAGAAGTTGTGAAATTTTATGTTTTTGTAAAAATAGCAAAAACTGGTTTTTACCCCATAAAACCCTTCATAATCACTCGTTTCCTAAGTCTGATTGCTGGTTTGTGAACTTGTTCAACTTAAGTTAAATGTAAGTTTACACATTTGTACCAAATTTCATCAAAATCAGATCATTTTTACTCGAGTTATCACGCTAAAGAACACACACACATACATATAGCCTAAGCCTAGATATATTACATGTGAATTTAATATATCCGGGATCCTATCTTACTTTTGACGTATTCCATTGTTCAAGAACCTTAGACCTTTAACTCTTTAACTTATATATGCTACAGTGCTAACTCCCAGTACAGTGCTCTCGGTTTATTAAGTTAATGAAAATTCATAGCTCCATCCTATTGTTTTTGTTTAATTGTGACAAATTTAAAATCAACGTTGACAGACCTAAGTTATATGTGGCACCGAACAAGACAGAGGACCAAAAAGAGTGGGAGGAAAACCAACGAGAGGATGGATTTCCTATGGGGAAAAAATCTTGGTTTTTCAACTGTAGTTTGATTTGCTAACCAAAGTAAAATGTATAAATTATAGAAATTTACCAGTGTAAATAATTAATTTATAATGATAAGTTAGTTTATTTTTATTTTTAACAGATTGTTAAACCCACCATGAGATTTCTTGAAAAGATAGAGGTGTGTATAATTAGGGTGAGTCCTGAGTGCAGCCTCTCTACCAAGTTTTAAGGCATCTACCTACATTTTAGTGCATGATTCAATTACACCCCTATTCGTCAAATTCAATTAATGAGTCCAATTAATGGGTCCTTCAATTTTTGAGTCAATTAAACATTTATTTCCATAAATTTAAGCCAGACAAAATGGAAATAGGCCTAGGGCTATTGGGAGGGGGTGGAAGTTGTACCACAAAATCTCAAAGAAGTAAGTAAGTTAAACCCAATTTTATAAAATAGGTAGGGCCTAACTTAGATATTTCAGGAGTCAGTAATTCCTGACTCCTGTTAGGGTACATACCGTTTTGTATCATCTTTATCATCTGTGTCATCATCCATTGTGTCTCTGAAAAAAGAATGATGACATATTGTGAAACAAACATTTTCATTAACAGCCTAAATCCAACATTGACGTGTGTTAGTTTCCTCCTATTGAGTAGTTCTACAGAGAATCTACAATTAGGCCTACAATAAGGGATGAAATATTCTTTTAATAACTTATAAACGGCTGCACTTTACTTTACGTCCTACACTCATGGGAATGAAAATATCGATCGATATATCGATTATTCGATAAGTTATATCGTTTGGTTAGTTAGGTAAGGTTACCTAACCTAACTAACCAAACGATATATCGAATGAAACAATCGAATAATCGATATTTTCATTCGAATGAGTGTAGGACGTAAAGTAAAGTGCAGCCTTATAAACATCGATTAAAAATTTAGTCCTTCATAAACCTACCTAGGCTTAGCTTACTGTACAAATCTGCAGATATCAGGACTTAAGGTATGCTAAGAAATGGGGTAGACTTCCGAATCTGTTGGCACAAACAACCAAATGAAAACATCGATCGATATATCTTTTGGTTAGTTAGGTAAGGTTTTAACCTAACCCAACAAACCAAACGATATATCGAATGAAACAATCGAATAATCAATATTTTCATTTGGTTGTTTGTGCCAACAGATACGGAAGTCTACCCAAGAAATGCCTAAAATAGCTTAAATTCACGGTGCTAAAGGAAAATGTAGCCTAGGCCTACCTTACAGACTGTTAGTAGGAAAATGTCAGCACTTAGAAAACACTGTTAGTTGAAGGGTATTTGTTTTCTTTAACAAGATAATGAAATACTATTACGTAAATAGTCAGACTATGCTGTAGTGTTTAATAATTACTTACTCTGATCTTCTACCTCCAGTAGAACATCTACTCATTTGACTCATAAATCCTGACATTTTCAACTTGGTTACTGATTCATATGAAAATGCGTTATATTTTCAAGTTATATCTTCCAATCACTAATCAGAATATATTATACGTCAAAAATTGTAGTCAACAAAACAATAAACTTAATAATTTATTGAAGATAAACTAGATAATATTTTTCTTTCTGCTTCTGCTTTCTGCTCTAAAATTCTGACATCTTTCTCTGACTGACAGTGACAGTCTGACAGACGATTATTGGCGTGACAGGTTGACCAGCATAGTTTGTAAAAATTATGAACTCGTATTGTAGTATACCCATAAAAGTACAGATGAAATAAAGAATCGGACGCATTTGTTCTCAATCCCCTCCAAACCCGGGAAATAAAGCGGTTCCAAATAGTTCAATTTATTTGTTTATTTATTTCAGCGTAGTTAAAGGCGGCCGTGTTTCAGCGGATACCTCAATATTTACATGTAACAAACCAAAGAAGTACACAAACTCAGAATGGCTGGTCATAAGTTATTTATTGGTCTTACATCAATGCTACCATGTTGCAATATGTTTGAAACTTTCCAGATTCACCTGAGGCTCAAATAACATTTTGTGTTTCTTAAAAGCTTGCTTATACAGTATTATTGTTGTTCATATAAGTCGAGTTAAACAAACTTAAACTTAGGTAGTGTAGGGTGTCGCAAAAGAGAGAGCGAGCGGACTACATGATCACATGTGAGCTGTGTCGCTGTGTCATTGCAGTACAAACCACAAACAGAGAAGTAAAGGTACAAAGGAAACTTGCTTATGCAACGACTTTTATTAAAAACTAGGTGAAACCCGTCGAAATCGACGGATACTTTCAAGGCTTACGCTAATTCATCTAACTGCGATAAATTGAACAAAATTATACATATTTTGAGCATTTAGCTTGTTTGAAGATCAAGTGTAAAAACAATAATGATATTAATTGCGTTAGTTACCAAAATATGGTTGATCATTCAATGAATAAAATATTTCCCATATTGCAAGTCATCGGTGTTGTTAGTATGCTATCAGGTATCTCTTCCTTTGGAAGAACATTTAAATTGTATTGATGGATCTTTTGTAGTTAAACACTTCCATGATTTCATCAGTGTAATGCAGATTAATCTATGATTTATTTGGAAAAAATCTGTTTGATGGGAAGACACGTACTAACTTCAAAGGGAGGTACATCCGTTACAGTGTAAGTTTGATTTTTCCTTCGTCACGTCACGTCAGTTCATATCGTACTTCTCTGCCAATGAATAACCCTCTAGCACAGTTTTGAGAAATTTGGTTGTGGGGTTACTGTTAAAGGTGGAATTCCTAGACATATCGGGGATGTCAGTTAGTTGTTTCAGCCTTATCAGTTACATAAAGTTGTCAATATAATCTATCTATGGAATGCTAGGTGTAGTGAAATATACTTGAAGTGAAGTTGGCTTTTATTCTTGAACTGTTAGGGGCCTCCTCATTTATGTGGTCGTGCAGCTTCATTGGCAACAAATGTGAATGAAATAGTAATGTGGCATTTAAAAAAAGCAAAAAACAATATAAATTACCTGTTACGTAAATATTGACGTTTATATGCATTGTTAATCAACGTATCTTATAAAGGATAATGTGATCTAGTTTCAAAGGAATATGACCTATAATATGTCATGACAGTAGCTGCTTAAATAGTATTTACTCATTGGACCATATTCACAGCCAAAATGTGGTATTATTTTCAATAATGTTGCCAACCCAGTGGGCCACGGTCGGTAATATAGGCCACTACAATTAATTTTTCAAGATAGGTTCTATTTTAGGCAAGGTTGTTGTGTTTGGATGTCATTAGAAACGGTAAGAGCACAATACAATTCTTCTGCAGATGAATTTTCTGTTGGAGAAATATAAGCCGAATTATAAATGTCACAATGCGAGTTTGAGCATTTTGTAACAATATTATATGGGTAAGTTACATAGATTGTTTAGGCTGTTGCTCAGTGCACTTTAAGAATATATATTTTAGAGATAAATTAAATGGTTTTTGTTGCTAAGTAGCGCTAGTAAACATGCACAACTCTTTTCGTTAGTTTAAAAACATTCAAAGGCTCTTTAAGAATTCAAGTTCTTATTTGTATACATATCTATATTATGTTTTCACTAAGCTGAATGAATACATCGAAGTGACCCTTGTGAAAAGTCTGCAATATATTGCAGTTTTCCAGCTTAATGACTTTCTAAATCATGCACATATTTCTACATAGATATTGTAAAATGTTTTATCCAGTTGCTGTAAACCACTAAATTCGACAAAATATAGACACTGCTCAAATGGCCACCGTGCCCTTCTGCACTTGTATTATTTTGTAAGTATTACATAATCGAAGATTTTTCCGATGATTGAAAGCATGTATGACAATAATCTCAAGAATCTATGATGATCCGTCTAGAATAATACGATAAAATATAGGGAAAAGGTGTGAAAAAGGCAGACTCCAACCCGTAAAATAGATATAAGATAGTTCAATAAGAAATAATTGCAAGAGTTATTGTGATAAAAGGATTTTCCATTGATTTCGTAATGGAACTTTATATTGCGCAACACATGACATAATACAAAAGAAAGTCAATTTTAAAATCAGAAAATAACATTGCAAATACTTCTTTTGGACTATTTAGTAACTTTCAATAAATGTGTGTTGTTTGAAATACAATTTTAAAATTAACAGCTGTTTTATTAAAAAGTATTATCCACATGACGAAAATGTAAACAAATCTGTCGAGGGATCTTTGGAGGCTTCTGGGGCAGAGCCCTAAGCGAATTTACGTAGTTTTTCTTTTGATAACTATCCTAGAGACCATGACCTTTCTTTGGACACCTCCACCAAGTTTCTACGCCCAGCCGTTCTCTCAAATTAGTGGAGACAAAGTTCCCAAATAAATATTTACATTTCCCCATGTTAATCTTATGGGAGAAAATCCAACTTTGATGGAAGATCCTGCCCAAACTAATAAAGATATCAAAAGACCAAAAACACTTTGCAAAACTACAGATCAGGGCAATTTTTTTGACACTTTAATCATCAAAATCGGTCCAAAAATGAGGGAGGAGTTCTGTTCACAAAAATCGGCTTAGCGTATTATATATATAGATTCTATTGTTACTGTATAACTCTCTTGCTATCTCATTATCATTATCAACAAGCATGGATAGCTCAGAGATATGGTTAATGGGTCATAAAGCCAAAGTTACCAGGTTCAAGACCCGTCTGGACAAAAAATTGTATTATAGTTTTTTTTAATGAAACTATTTAATCAATTTACTCAACTAATAATATTATGCTTTTCATATTTAATCTTTATTATTTTGTGTTTTTATGTTTAGGCCCCATGTGATGATGGCCCTTCGTTAAAAATTGGTTGGTTGGCCAACCGTAAGACTTAGTGCCAAAACTTACCGTTGGCCATAACCTTCGACAGAAACGTTAGGCCAACGATTTGCCAACAATTTTTGCTACTTGGGCAGGTGCAAGAATTATAAAATAAACTGAATAAAATGGAATCCTGTTACACCACAATAGGTTACAGTGAGGTCAAAATGAACCAATTGGGTGGAAACGGACACGGTGCCTGCTCGATCCGCGCTGTAGAAGTTCACAGATAAATATTTGGTTATATGATGAGAGTCAAAGTAGTACAATTTTTTTCACAATTTTTATTAGGTATGCATCCTGCAACCACGGCCACCTTAAACTCCAGGCCGCGGCCTTCGAAGTGGCAACATCGCAAGTAGTGTTTTAACAGCTGTTTTGTTTGGATGCAGCTATAATGGTATTTGTGTATTTTTTTAAATACGAAAGCTTGGTTGCTGGGCTATGAAAATATTAACTCCGCTTAAAATGTACAAAATAGATTTTCAATTTAAATATTGTTTTGGTTTTCAATTCTATGTTTTATTTCCAATCTTTTAATAAATTTATGTTCATAAATTTAATTTAAAATGAATAATACGTGAATGGTGTCACCTGTCTGCCATGCTATTTTATGGGACGTCTGGCGCTAGACAACACTACTTGCAACGTTGCCAATTCTACCAGGCCGCAGCCTGAGTTAGTGGTGGCCGTGCTGTATAAGTACACTACGGTGGCCGAGGACGCGGCTAGTCACGCACCTCAATGTGCACTGATCACGTCATCAACAAAAAAACATCAGTCTTCAGTGTGCCGATCGAATTTTGTTTGTCAATTGGGTTTGGTTTTAGTTTATTTCCTTAACGTTAGTGGTAGGTAGCAGTGGCGCTAGGACCTCTAAAAATGTGTATAAAGGCCCGATACGTTTTTAGGAAGAAATGTAGGGCCCATGTATAATTTATTTACAGGCTCCAAACGGGGCTGGCTTTAGTCCCTATAACCTCAATCTCTTTGGAGTCACCACTGGTAGTAGACAAAATAAAGGAAGCACCTCAAGAAAATGCAAACGCAGTGAATAAGGTCAAAATCGCGATTTTGGACGGACGATTTTTTGGACGGGAAATTGCCATGAATCAAATCCACCAAACCTAAAAAAAATATGATTGCTGCGTCACTGAATCAGTGTATAAATAAAAATAAAAGTAACTTCTTTGAACCGGGGGATAAACATGGGGGGAAATGCAATGTTTCTACTGGTTATGTAATATAAAAGAGTAGCTGCATGGTTGCTAAATCAATCTAGCCTTTGAAAGCAAACTAAATTATTAAGAAAAAATAATACCAAGTCAAGTACGTCAAGTAAGTACTAAACTGTCAAGTGTCAATGTCAAACTCAAACTGTCAATAATATTGTCATTGTGTGTAAATTATAAAATTTCTTGGTTGTGTAAGAAAGTTTCGTGTTAGGCTAACTTAGGTGTTTAAGGTAATTCTACAACAATCTATAAGATTTTAAAAATTAAGAGAAATAACTAATGGCTTAACCCTAGGTGAAAAATGTGTTTGGTCTATTATTAACTTACTTTTAAGTTATTGGCTGTGTGTAGTGAGTAGCATCAACTCTTAACTTTAACAACTTTAAGTCTTTTGACTATTAACTTGTATTAGTTTATTTATTAGATCTATGCTGGCATTAAATTCACCATATAAAAGCTTTCTTAATATTAGAATGTCGTTTGGCTATTTTGCTTAAGCAGCTTCTTTGGATGCTTAGCTTCTGTTTTGCTCAGTTCCTTGAAGTTCAGTTCCTATGCATTGGTTAAACAAGAATGTTATTTTTTATTAGTTTTATTACTTTTAAATTTTATTTGACACAGTCTAAGCCAACAAGTGTTGGGCAACGACATAGGAGTTGGCTTGAGCCAAAAGGAGTTTTCTGAACCTTAAGTAGACACTAAGTTTGGGAAATTATGCACTGGGCCGGATTTAGCATTTTGGCAACCCTAGGCCCAATAATGTTTTCACCCGTAGTCTGGTAAAAGTAACAGATAGTAAGTTAATGGTACTACAAACCTTTATCAAAAAATTATGTCAGGCCTTAACTTGTATTAATTTCTTTTAACACCACTCCACAACACAATTTTATCATAACAGGTTTTTTGAAGAATTTACTTGATTCAGGGGTAGACTTCCGTAACTTATTTGTTGTCAAAAATAACTGAATAAAAATATCGATTACCGGTATTCAATTGTTTTGTTCGATATATCGACCGATATTTTCATTTGATATATCGATCAATATTTTAATTCGGTTGTTTTTGACAACAGATACGGAAGTCTACCCTGATTCAGTCCAAAATGCCGTCTAAAAACGTTTGCCTGAGGAACAATTATAGATATCTATTAGCCTGGAAATAGTTAGCTCATATCTGTGACACTGAAACAAAACGATCCAACCCTCAGACTAAGGATCTCAGACATCCTCATTTTGCCGGACTCGTCTCTTTTTGGGTAACTTACTTAAACAACGTCGGTGGAAGAATTTGAGCAAAACCTTAAATTGTCCGGGATTTATAAAAAAAAAACATTTTTTCCTTAAAGCTTAGTATGCCCCTCAGTAGTAGCATAGTATTGCCTTTGTTTTGTATTGCCTAAATGAAAATTAAAAGCAAATATTTTAGTGATAAAAATTAATTGGCAAGCAAATGGAAAATTCTAGTTTAAAATGTCAAAAGCTTACAATATATAGCCTAGGCTATGTCAATATCTGATAGCTATTATAGATGATTTTAGTTATAGATGGCTACGTCTATAACTGTCTGATCTACTCCCAGTGCAAGTTAGAATCAATTTATTCGTTACATACCAGTGTAATTCAGGCAATACATAAGTTGAAGTGCAAGGTATGGGTTAGCTTTGTCGATACTTGGTATCCCTGTTATTGCATTACAATACAGTATTGCCTGTTTGCTTTGGTGAGTTTATAATGAATCACAGAAGTCCAACTAGGCCTAATCAACAACTTTTAAATTAATTTGGTCCATCATATTTATTTTAACTTTGTAGGATGGACAGGAGGAGGCTAAATAAAAATTCATGGTGTTGAATTATCTTTGCACAGTCATAAGAAATGTTGGCAATCCAAGCTTATCAATATTCAAGTAGGCTGAGGAACAGGCTACGGTACTCTAGAAATAAGCTAACTTATTAGACAACATTACACTACAACATGACCACTATTACAGATAACATAACATCTCTTCAAAACCATATTGTATAGATAGGCCTAATGTATAATTATATTTTCATAACCAATTTATTAAAATACATCTAAGCCTGTAAGTTAAGTTAGGCCTATGTATTATATTTTATTCAACACCTAGCCTTAATTAATTTAATTTTGCTTTGGCAGGTAGGTCAAAGCCATGACTCGTCATGCAAGGAATTGCACTGCTGGTGCAGTATACACTTACCATGAGAAGAAGAAAGACGCTGAAGCGTCAGGTTATGGAACTCAAAACCAAAGAGTGGGCAAGGATTCTGTGAAGAATTTTGACTGTTGTTGTCTAACTCTTCAACCTTGCCGAGACCCTGTAGTCACGTAAGATACATCTTTACTCTTATATGAAGCCCAGATTGCCTTAAATCTTTTGACTCATAACTTAATGCCAGAAATTCATAGTAACATATTTTGAACACTTTGGGATTAAACCCTTGTCTGAACCATTAAAAGGCCAAACCATCTGAATCACCATAACAAGACCAAATCCTTTTTATAACCATGAAAATCAAGTGCACAAGATTAGAAACCTAATTCAGCAATAGCATTAGCATTATACTGTCCAGTACATCCCTAGACAAAGTGCTAGTGACTTGTTCATTGCGTGACTATAAACGAACCTGTGCTATAAACGATGTCGATGTAGTTTACAAAGATTTTGTTTTGTGATTTAGTAAGCTTTTAGCATGATGCAGCATGACAAACAATATTTAATTTATCACATATTATATGCCATTAGTGTCCTTTTGACCCTCGCTCATTTTCCAACCTTAACTTTGCCTCAGTTGTTACTGTTAACTTGAGCTCATATCAAGAGCCACTTTTAAGCTCTTGTTATCAAATGTATAGAGCATTATAATGAATTTACACTATTAAAAAAAAAAATTCTTTAAGTATTGGTGTTCTCTGTTGTTTGATGTACTTTTTATACCATGTGGTAGTATGACAATATACCTATAAGTATACCACTTTCTTGTAATTTTTTAATATTTTTAGTGAATTTCCCTATAGGGGAAGTAGCTATTACCGTAGGTCTCATGGCAAGACTTGAGCCCGGGACCGATTTACTTTTTCATTTTGATGTCCCCAGAGGCTAAAACACTATTCATTTAAATGTTCCGCGCTTGCGGTCTCTCCCTTTCTTTTACTCTTACTCCTTTCTTCTAAGTCCGTGTATGTTCTAAATTCAGTATTGTAATCCATAGTTTGTTCGGTCGGTCGCATTTTAAATTTGTAATGTGTTATTTTAATCGATGAAATTGTTAAAGCTTCATTTTTAAGTAATAAAGTGTTATCTGATCCCTCATCCACGAGTTTAATTGGTCTCCTGCTCCCAGCCGCTACAAAGACTACAAGAGATGGTGCCGACCTGTCACAAGAGTGTGATTTTACTTTCCCTTCAGCGGTCCCTATGAGTGTTTAACGTTTTAGTTTACTTAGAGTTAAGCTCATGTTTGATGACAACACAACACTTTAGTGGCCTACGTTTCTCATTGAACATGAGTACAGTTATATTTTGTATTTGAGCAATGAAAGAGGATTTTAAATTTTTGTTACAGGTCAGAAGGATATTTGTTTGATAAAGAAGCTATTTTAGAATATATAGTGAGGAAGAAAAACGAAATAAGCAGAAAGACAAAAGAATATGAAAAGCAGAAGAAAAAGGAAGAGGTACCTTATAAGTAATATTGTATGTTTTTCTGACCTGTTGATATTTCATTTATTTATTTTTGGTCACTTAGGCCTAGACACTTTCAATGGAGCAAATTTAAATCAACTATTCAATAACAAAATAAAACCCTCCAAATAGTTTCTATAACAAATCCAGCAATCTGTTAACCTTCATAAAATCTTAACACATGAACAGTATATTTTTTGCTAAATTCATAAATACCATACATTCTTTTACAATAAGAAAGGTAAACGGTGACTGTGGGCAAGTTAAAGTGTGTGTTTGACTGTATTTAGAAGAAGAAGAAGATAAGGGGAAGGAAAGCAAAGGTTTGGAGTTATAACTTTGAATAATGGCAAAAATGCCACTGTGCAAAGTAAACCAACCAACATTGATACGCACTAGCCTATAGGCCTACTGAATATTGCATGGATTTGTTTTATTTTTTCAGTCAGAACTGGCAGAGTTAGCTGCAGCTGAGAAGGCATCGAAGCTGAACAGCTTTGTGAAGTCTGAAAATAACATCGTTAGCTCTCCTAGAGATGTTTTTAGGAAAGGTAACTTTAGAATATCTTGTAAACTTAAATTTAAGTTAAATTAATTGATACTGTATCTTCATTCCAGATGTGACACTGGTTTCAGACTGAATTCAGATACAATAAAAATATGAAAGCAGTTGAAAACTAACAATGAAGTTTTATTACAGTAACAAAATCTTAAAAATTTCAATTAATAATTTATTTAGATTATTTATATTCATTTAAAACTTCAGAATCTGAATACTTAAAATAAGGCATTACTGTAACCCGAAATTTCAGGGAATTTTTATCACTTTCTGAATGATTTAAATAGTTTTAGCTATTTTTTGTAGACATTAATCTTACTCTATCATAATTTTTACTCTTAATTTAGAGTAATTGAAAATCAACAATCACAGGGAAATTAAGATAAGATAAGATCTTTATTTCCATTAGATATTCTTTTGAATACATTGGATTTATCAGGATGTTGCCTCAAAAGAGGTAGATAGTATCATTTTTGCTATGGTTGCAAGATAATTTGGAATCGGTTTTAAATAGCGAATATCAAAGCAATAATTTACTATTTTTATTATTGATTTGCAGCTTCAGGAAACTTTTCTGTGTTGTTAAATAGTATAAAAGAAATATACATAAATTGCTTTGATTAATTATGACATTTATTAGCCTGCAAAAAAATTATACTTTTTCTTCTGGTAGGCTGCCTAGAAAGTAAAATGAACTTTCTGTTATTTAAATTGTATAACCTTTTTTAGTCCAAATACAGTAGACTCCCTCTTATCCGGACTCCTCGGGACCGAGGCCAGTCCGGATAACGGGTTTTCCGGTTAAACGGACGTCCCCTAAAACTTATTGAAACGGACTCTTTACTGTGATATTCGACTTAAATTTAGGAGAGCATTGTATTTAGTTGGACTTTGGACATGTGATCACTGGTCTCAAATCTTTCCCACGAGAACAGTTGTTTCAGTAACGCCCACTTCCTGCCGATCTAGTTCGGTTAAACCAATGTGCTGGAAAAAATTGTCCGATTAAAGAGATGTAATTTCCGCCGAATGTAGTCCGGTTAAACCGATGTCCGGTTAATAGGTGTACGAATAAGAAGGAGTCTACTGTAGAATTATTTTGTTTCAGAAAATGGTAATGATGGCCCATCAGTTTCAAACATGGCTGGGGGCAAAGCCAAACATTTACCTAGTTTTTGGATCCCATCAAAAACTCCAGAAGCACGCAAAACCAAAGTAGAAAAACCAGTAAGTTTATTTTTTGTTTGCTGTATATGGAACTCAATTCAACATTGTTGGTTCTGGATATAGTGTGAAATAAATTGATTAGGTACCATAAACGAGCCCTGTACTAGTGTTCCATGTTCCAGTTTCCCTTCCACGTTTCTATCCTGGAATTCCCCTAAAATCCCCCCTTTTTGGGGGGCATTTAATAATTTCAAAATCATAAAATGAAACTTCCTGCTAAGTTTGCACGACCGCCAAAAGGACATCTTTGTATATTTACTTTGAAAAGTATTAGAGAGGAGGTTCTTGACTTTTTATTCACCCTGTAGATCATGAATACACTCTTCATTTCTTCTCAATATCGGTACCAGAAATGTTTACAAAGCCTGAGCATTTATAAAATATAATTTGATTCATTACAGGACAAAAACGTGCTTTGTCCCATGACGGGTAAACCACTTAAGTTGAAAGATCTGATTGACGTCAAGTTTACGGAGGTGAAGGATCCAGATGACAAGAAGTCCCATCTGGTGAAGGAGAATCGTTACATGTGTGCGGTAACTCACGATGTGCTCAGTAATGCTGTACCCTGCGCCGTCCTTCGACCAACGTAAGTAATGTTGGCATTCAAGTTTTGTACTGGGTCGAGAGGTTATGTTTTCAATGCTCAGTATGAATTCTGTTTGCTAAATGTAGAATTTGTCTGTGTCATATGATATAGTGTAATTTAATGAAGTGTTGGATGCTCTAGGCCTACAGCTTCACAGAGAACCTACGATGTATTATTGGATGGAATTTTTATTTCATGTCCATATCGATTAAAATATTTCATTCTACTGGCTATATAAATTTTAAATGTATTGATTTTCTGTTTTGTGCACTCTTTTACCCTAGAATTATGTACTTTAAAAATGGCTAGGAGGAGCAGTGAAGGTGTATTAACAATACATCATTTTCAGATGATTGTAATCAATTATAGGCTACAAAATTTAAGTACAGTCCACTCTTGGTAATTCAAACACTTGATAATTCAAAACTTTCGATAATTCAAAATGAAGGCTCAGTCCCTAGAGAATCTCTCAATATTTCAAACTTTTACCATGCATTTTGATACACTCGGTATTTCAAAGTCCAAATAGAGGGCAGGTCAATTTGTAACACGCAGTAATTCGAAGTTTCGTCGGCAAAACACTCTATAATTCGAAATAACTCAGTAATTCGAAGTTTTGTCGGAACACTCTATAATTCGAAGTCATGCTGTAATTCGAAGTTTCGTCGAAAAACACTCTATAAATCAAAGTCACGCAGTAATTCGAAGTTTAGTCGGCAAAACACTCTATAATTCGAAGTGATCTCTTCCTGTTATAACAGGAAACTATATACAGTACAGTACATCCTGTTCCCATGGTAGGCTAGTGTTGGACGTTTTGATGTTTGTTTACAGAATTAGTTAGAGCAGTAGTCTGAGTTATAGTTCGCTGACTTGTTTTTCTAAGTTGGCAATCCGATCTCTAGATTGTGCGACATCTCCTTGAGCACAAACGTAGTTGTCGACAGCTGATAGTTCAGCGATTGGCGATATAGCGCTAAATAACAGATTTCTTTGCAACTACAGTAACTGAAAAATAAGCCGTTGATTGTTTAAAAGTGTACTAACATACGGTATGATGTTTTATTGTAACGTGCTGTACCTTTGTATGTATTAAACAAATGAACTCTCTGTAATTCGAATGGTTTATTTTTCTCCTGATAAATCGAACTCTTGATAATTCAAAACTTTTGATAATTCAAATTTATATGCTTGGCCCACCGATTTCGAATTATCAAGAGCCTACTGTATACTGTACTCTACTACCTTTTTGCCATAGTGACAAAATCTTGTTCATCTGCAGCAATCCTAAATCTTTAGTTTACTTTTTAGAGTTTAACTGAAATATAATTGAATTAGAATCAAAATTGTAAGAGTACCATTAGGGTCCAGTGAGTAATAAATTAATGAAGTGTAATGGTTTAAAAAAATTCGCAAATGAATTATATAATACAAGAAATAATATTTTCCCCTTGGTACTAAAATGCAATGCTCTTGAATTACAGCCTGATAAGTGATGATAAAACATCAGGTTCTTAAAACCGCCTTACCACAAAAACTCAGTTAAAAATTAAAATAAGACACCTTTTACTTACTTAATCCTACCTCCTCTTCAAGCTTGGGGCCTTCAATGTGCCTTTTTACCTGATCTAGTAGCTTCTCTCTAAATTCCTTTTCATGATATGTCTTCTGTCTTAACACCTCACTATCCACTTCCTTGTGTTTCTTGCTATTCCCGCTTTCCTGCTTACAGCGAGGTTTACTCAATGCCTCCTTTGTTACACAAATCTCTTCTGCAATGTGTGAGGAGGAAGGTCTATTCATTAAGTTTCTTCAGATCCGAATTATTAAAGCATTAAAAGCGAAAATTCCTATATTTGCTCACTTAACTGGAGCTTCATATACATAATTATGTTTATTTTACTTCTTGTGTTAACAGGGGAGACGTTGTTACGATGGAATGTGTTGAAAAGTTAATAAAGAAAGATTGGATCCATCCCCTTACCAATGAGAAACTCACAGAGAAAGACATCATCCCTCTGCAAAGAGTAAGTCAATAGTTGTAAAATGGTTTCATCTAGGTCCTACACCTGTATTTTTCTAAGCCTTTTGATATGACAAAGGTAAATAAAGGAATAATCCTGTTTAGAATACACTTTTTGTTAGGGTTGTGCAAATAGTAATTAAGGATAAAGCCATTCCAAAAATATTTTTTAGGACGCTGAAGAGAAAAATGATTGCTTTACATCTGTTGAAACTCCAACACCAAATACACTACCTTTATAATTGAATGTCATTTTGTCTGACAGTACATAGAGTAAAATTAAGTATAAATTTGTAAATGATTTTATTAGGCTATCTTCCTATGTGTATAACATTAATACCCCCGCCGCAGCAAACCTGCAGACTAAGCGAATTTCCATTTGACTGATTGGATTTACACTGAAATGTCTACTTAAATATAACATTTATTCCCGATTTAAATAGAATTAGTTTAAAAAGTACTTAGGTTTGCTGCATCAGGGAGGTTAAAACTGTTTTTTTTGTAAAATGTTAATAGTTAGTAAGAAATAAAAAATTTTCCAAATTTGATCAAAATATGTTCATAAACAAGCAAACTACAACAGTTTACTTATTCTCCATAAGAATAACATGGGTATTTTAAATTTACAATTTTTTGAAATTTTCTCCGTAACCATTAGGCGCATAATAACGCTTCAATATACTAAATTATTTGTTTTTTTAAGCTCTACAAAATGGTTTAGAAAGAAATTGCAAAATTTTATGTTTTTTGAGTCAAAAATGGGAAAAACCTATTTTTACCCCATAAAACCCCCCATAAACCCCCGTTCCCATGGTCCGATCATGCTGGATCGCGAACTCGTTCGAATAAACGTAGGTTTACACGTTTGTACCAAATTTCATCAAAATCGGATCATTTTTGCTCGAGTTATCGTGCTAACGGACATATATATATATATATATATATATATATATATATAAATATATAAATATATAAATATATAAATATATAAATATATATATATATATGAATTTGAACGAATGGTGTTTTTAGCCTCTAGGGACCTCAAAACGAAAAAAAAATCGGTCCCGCGTCCAGATCTTACCATGAGTACTACGGTAATAGCTTATTCCCTATATGGGAAATTCGCTAAAAAAGAACACAAAAACCCTTGAGGATACCATAAACCTCAAACCTATCAACCACATTTAAATCACAAAGTTCCTGATGAGAAATTCCCAGCAATCAGTTTTTTATTAAACCTCGTTCGTACATGGCGATTTTACTCGCTGCGACTAGGACTTCAGTAGTGGCTACTTAAGCACGGGTCACACTAGGCTGGCATCAGCCATGAATTAAAAGAAGCCAGTATCAAGGATACTGTTATCAAGGACCCTTAGACTAATATAGTGTTTTGAGCCATTTAATATATAAGCTGATAACTCAAAAAGTAATCCTGAGAACATTGTAATAAATGTATGTTTTACAGGGAGGAACAGGGTATTCCAAGACAAATGAAAACCTAGAAGGAAAGCATGAAAGACCTGTCTTGCAAGCCTAAACATTCATCATCTCTTATATTTATGAATTTGCTCCAAATAGAATATTTTTATGTACTATTGTTGTCTTATTCCCTGACAAAATTATTACCCATTTTATTTAGCTGTCAAAACTTAAGGTAAATCACATTCATTTTATTGATTTTATGTTATTCCTTTTTTGTTTCTTTAGGAGTGTAGGCGTTTGTCATTACCCATGTCAAATGCCCCATTGCTCCCTCCCAGTAAATAAATCCTAAATAATATCAATGCAAACAGACTAGTGTACTAAATGTGTTCTACCCATACGCTAAGTAAAATAGCTTATTCCCAATATGGAAAATTTGTTGAAAGTCAGTAAGTATTAGGAGTCTGCGGGTCCCCAAATTTTTCGGTCTAATGAGAATTAAATATTATGTATGTTAATGACGTTAAAAGACACAGTAGAGCAATTGCCGCAATGCCAGAGCCAGTCATCTACTGACAACAACCGTGCAACAGGAAACGCTAGTCCACCGATGATTCCTCACAAACAATCCAGTGGTGGGAGTATTTGAGGAGGGCCTCACCTCGCCTTGTGACGTCATCATCATTATTAAAAATTTTCATATCCAAGCAACAATAAAATACAGCTATGTGTCATAGTGTTGATTTAAAAAAATTATATAAGTATTGGTGATCTCCCTCCACTAAAAGCCATACATAATCTGTTTTTAATAACTAGTAGTGCCTATGCAATTATTATTTATATAACACTGTGCTGGTGTGATGTATACAATTCCATGGTGTTTACACTATAACAGAAGAATACCATTTTATTTTTACAATATTTTAATGTATGTTTCAGTTAACAAAACACTTTATTCTTTGAAGGAAGTTAATTATAAAATTACTAAACTCTTAAAAAATAGTAACATATTGTTGTTTTGAAAGGGTAGGCTAGGATTTTGAAAACAAATTCAAGTGTACTCTTCTCTTCAGCCAAGAGGCACTGCCTAATGAGAAATTAAAGCACAAAAATGATTTTATCTGAATCAAGCTGAATAATGTTACCTTACAATATTGCAATTACAGTCAGGGATGCCCAGGGGGGGGGGGGGCAGTGGCAAAGGGGAATCTTAGGAAGGGAATTTAGTGATGGATTTTTACTTAACATATTGACATTAGTAATTTGTTGAGTTTTAATTTGTAGACCTATAATGTTTTTTTTGTTAAATTTATACACCTTAACAGTTACAAAAAATGTAATTAAAAAACAAGGTAAATAACTATTCTAATATAATATAATAAATACAATTTTGGAGATTCACATTTAAAATTTGTTCCTAGCATCAACTCTAAGTTTTCCCAACCGCGGGGGAAGGTATTATTTACATATACATATACTATTGTAAATATATAGGCTATGTATAAATATATTGAAGGGAAGGACAATATATATGTATATATATATAATTATATATGTATTTCTTTGGCACTGTGAACGCCGGACTACTAAATTCTGAAGTTGACTCGCGTGTGACACCATCTTTAAGTAATTCTTGTATGTGCTGTCGCAAAATTTCTGTTTTGGGGGGGGTGAAAATTGGTAAGGTCTGCAACGTACTACATGGTCTGGTTTTATACTGATACGGTACTGAACTAGATTGGTCCTACCCTACCTAATGTTTTGGTAACTGTGTCTGGGAACTTGGACAACAACTTTTCTAACTTACACTTTTGTTCTGTATTGAAGTTAGTACCGAACTTGGGGGCTGGTGGCTCCTGTTTGTCGCTAGTTTGTTGCGGTTGACCGTTGACCTAATGATAGAACTAACAGCGTGGTGTAGGGAAATGTTATAGAATTTTGGGCTATATTTATTATTGCTTTAGTTAAATTAAAAAAATCTAGGCTTAATATGACGTCCACAGGAAGATGATTAGCGATGCAGAATTTTTTGGTCCATGCGAGGTAATTAACTTTGAAGTGTAGGTGTACGTAGTGTGTTAATTTTAGTGGAGTGGAGGATGCTGTTGTGACGGTAGCATTGACTTTGTGTATCTGTCCAACAAGAACACCCTGAATCGATTTGACTTTATTTAGTAATTTATTTGATATAATTGAGCATGAGGCTCCTGTGTCGATGAGTGCTGGTATTGAATGATTGGCTATCTTGACGTTTAAAAGTGCGGAATCATTTAGTGGTGCTGTTATAGATTTGATTTTAGATAATGGTAGTTTTTCCTGAGGTTTGTAAGCTAAAGGGTGTCTATTATAGTAAATTGGTTTTTGGGGAATCAAGGTCCACCAAAAAAACTTGATTTTGTAATTCTCTTAAAATTTGCAATTATATACTAGTTACACTCCTCTTTAGTAGCACTATCTATCGTAGAGGGTCCGGCAACAATGTGGCGATTGTTGAAAATTGGTTTTTGGGAGATGAGGTCCACCAAAAAAACTTGATTTCTCAATCATCTTAACATATGAAATAATATACTCGTTACACTCGTCTTGAAGAGCATCAATTGTATTGGGTCCGGAAAGAATTTGGCGATTGTCGATAATTGGTTTTTGGGAGATCAAGGTCCACCGAAAAAACTCGATTTTGTAATCTTCTTAACATAATGCAATAATATACTTGTTACACTCGTCTTGACGAGCACTATCGATTGTATAGGGTCCGGAAAGAATCTGTTGATAGTCGAAAATTGGTTTTTGGGAGATCAAGGTCCACTAAAAATACTCGATTTTTTAATCTCCTTAACGTATGCAATTATATACTCGTTACACTCGTTTTGACAAGCACTAGTCGTCGTCAACCGAAAAAACTCGATTTTGTAATCTTAATATTTGCAATAATATACTCGTTACACTTGTCATGACGAGCACTATAGATTGCGATCACGCACCCAATTTAAATAATAGGAATATGATATCACGGATTTTGAAGTCATGAAGTGGCTGCTAGGTTTTTAGCAAATTTCCCGTATAGGGAATAAGCTATTACCAAAGGTCTCATGGTAAGACCTAGACTCAAGACCGATTTACTTTTCCGTGTTCAAGTCCCCAGAGGCCAAAAAAACTATCCGTTCAAATTAATATATACAATAGAGATCGATATGCCGAAACGGCCGTAACCAACAGTTAGGGCTACAACATTTGAGGAGCTGCTTGAACTTCGTAGTTAAGAATTTTTGAAACTAGTTTTGAGCCAACCACAACTCATTTTTCAACAACACTTAACTTTCAGAAAACAACTACAGTTATGCATAGTTCGTAATAGTTTGTAAAATTTACAAAAATACAAATTGAGAGCCAATAATGAAATTAAAATTAGTTTCTGTCGGTTTGATAAGTTTTAAAACTTATATTAAGGTTATATGTGTCAGAGCTTTATTAAAATCAACCTATTTCCCATTATACTTCTTACTTTATCCACATGGTACATTCCTTCCATTTGTTAAGTACATAAAAAAAGTGTTGATCTTTGATGTTTTGCTGTTTGTGGATAAAAATTATTAAAAAGCTTTGAGCTAAATCTATAAGTTACATGGTTCTTTGTTTGAGCATGCAATATAGATAGGTAGTACAAATCGTGCGTTCCATTCCAATATGTGGTGTAAGGTCCGCAACATGTACAGGTAGTATGTCTCTTTCTCATACAATATGCACTTTACACCTTACAACTGGGACCGCCAAGGTACTATCAATACATCTCGAGTTCAACATCGTTCAAGGTAAACGTGAACTGTATTTGGATGAGCTTAAAAAATATTGTTTTGATGATATTCAGAAACGTTCTTGAAATAACAACAACAAATGACATCTTGGTTCACAACCGCTACGCTCTTCAGGCTTGACCAGCACTACCAACTTGGCCATCCAAACATCACAATTGACACACTGTTAGGACTACACACTTACACACGGTGTAACTTAGCTAATACCAATACGGAGTGTGCATGTGTTTCCCTGTTTTCCCATTGTACTGAGCCTGTTTACGAAAATGTGAATGAAGGATGATTGTGATGCCTCGTGTCGTTTTGTTAATCACTCATATTCATGCAATCAAGTTCACACAGGTCATGATGATAGTACGGTATATAGTAAAGACCAAAACCAGAACAGAACACTCACTGAACGAAAACAATGTTGTGTTTATAGTTTCTACTCTGTTTTCTGTGGTGCTGGTGGGGGTAAGGCTAGACGTCTGGACGGTATAGCTGACGAACTGACGTCACTACACCGCTACTGTGAGCTGATTGCTGATATACAAGTGAAAAAATGTACGCTTTAAAAATCCCAGAGGCAGCAGCCCTACTAGATTATGGCAAAGCCACACTAAAAAAACAGTCCGTAATGCTCGTGTAGCATGACGTCACCACGACCTGTTTTTGACGGCAATGACGTAATGTTTGTCGTTTGTGATCAGCTGCTTGTTTTAATCTTTTCATCGAAAACAAAAATATAACCCTAATTACGTCATTGCCATACTAAGGCCTGTGCAGGTATATTTCACAAGAACTTTGGACAGCTGCCATTTTGTAACGGATGAACCTTTTTGGACGCGGTTTCCGGCAATGAACTCCACTTGACTAACCTTTTAAAATGGTGTGCATATCAACCTATGCTTACATTAAAGATTATGTATTTACTCCTCATGGGTCGTCCCCTGGTAGAGGTAAAAAAATTACAATGCTTGGAAAAAGTAGTTTTCATACATGTAAGTTGATGTGAAAGGTTTGAATTTTCTAACGGATTTAGTTAAAAAGATATTAAACCGTTTCCAGACTTTTTTGTCACCCTATATAATCTTACCCTTAGTAAAGTTATACACAGGACTTCTCAGTAGTCACATGATTAGTACAATTCAGTTGTTAAACAGTATGCTAGTGTATTATTACAGAGTATACATCTTATTTCTATATCTTGTAATATATTACAAATACCTAAAAAACTAGCATGGAAAATCGAAGTTTACTTCACACAAATAAAGATATTGACGAATTTGTTTGAAAAGGTTTAAAATGTTTTTGTTGGTAATAGTTTAAGCGAATTTTCCATATAGGGAATAAGCTATTACCGTAGGTCTTATGGTA